CGCCATTTAATGCAATACGGTATAAAATTCATTTTGTGGAATCATCTCCAGCACATCCTCTGAAGGGTGGTAGAAGAGCATGAAAGTGTTCCTCTGTGTCATTTTTTACACGCACAGCATCTAGCTATAGCCATTGCAGAAATGCTTAAGACAACATTGAGAAATACCCAAAAAAATAGTTAAGCTATGGGATGTGAAAATATTGTTATACTCAAGCATTCAACACTAGAAAAATAAGTGAAATTGTCAAGAGCACTAGAAGAAATTACAGCTTCAGCGTCAACGGCACGGCTTGCTCTAGCTCGCCCGGCCAACAGATCATTAAAGAGAAGTCTGGACCTCGGAGCTATTGCCTGTACAATAGACAACACCTAAGATGAGGCTGAGGCGAGGTCGCTGAAGAAACAAAGAAACTAGGAAAAACCTAAGACATGATCCCCGAGGACGATGTCTTGTGGTCAGATGAGATTTCGAAAATTGAAGTTGGTCATAGTTCTCAAAAAGACCGCGAACTACCAATGTTGAAAACATCTTGAAGGTAAAAACTGTCATGTATTCACTATTTCCCGAGGAAAGTGGCGATATGGAGAAGAATAATTGTAAATAAGAAAAATCATGTTTACCATAAATGGAAGTGTCAAAATCAATTTCTAAGTCCACCACGATGATGATCTCTCGTAACTATTCTTTACTTGGAAATAGAAAGACCCCATTATCGTCTTCCAAAAAGAATAGGCGTCCGAAAACAGGAAAAACAACTACGACGTATTCACACCCGACTTTTTTTTGTTGCAGCTTAACAAGGGCCAACATTAGCTCAAGAGTCTAGAATAAAAACCCTGGATTTGCGTTACATGGGTCGCCACTAACTTTAGCGAACACTGTTCGAAACTGGAATCAACTATTTGCGGTCAAAGTCGAGTAATTCAATTTCGGATAGTTTATATGAATGCCTTTCTTTCCGGTGATTAAGAGTTCTGAGAGGAATACATTTCAGAAATAATCCATAAAAATCTCTATCACCTGCACTCCCGTTGATCGTCGAGTGACTCGAGCGGGCGCCAGTAAATCTTCCACTTTGCCTGTCGCGTGCAAGAGTAGCCCAGTGGGTTCTGCTCGCTCTAGAGACTTGTCGAGCATCATATCTTTCTTCAAGGCTCTTTGTGAAGAACTCTGACCATCGGGTCGGTGGTCTTCCTGCAGTACGTTTGACATCCCGAAGAATCCAGTCACTAACGGCTCTTGTCCATCGGTTGTCATTCATATGCATTACGTGTCCGGCACACCTCATCTTCGACTGTTTGGCGTACAGAGCGGCACTTTTGATTTTTTATCATTGATGTAGGTCCGAGCTTCGGATCCCATCCTTTACTTGTGTGGAACGGGATACTCCTAGCATAGTCCTTTCGACTGCGCGTTCGATAACGCTGAGTGACCTATCATCCTGGTTACGCAGCGACCAGGTTTCTGACGCATACATTAAGGCAAGAAGTACCGTCGAGTCGAAAATGTGGGCACGGAGTCGGGTGTTCTTTATTCTCTTCACTACAACCTCGATGTTCTTGAAAGCTCTCCAAGCTGCTCGTTTCCTTCTGCTCAGCTCTGGAGCTAAGTCGTTCATCATGTTGATTTCCCAAGCTGTATAGACGCAGCTAGAGCATTCAAAGATATTCGTTCCGTTGAGCGTGAATGGAGCATGTGAAACTAAACTGCTCCTCATGAGCACCGTTTTTGTGAGATTTCGATTGTGGGATTAGTCGAAGAAAGACCAATCTTTCTGCAGGCTTTATAAAAGTCGTTAAGCATACGTTCCGCTTGGCTAATGTTTGGTGTTATCAGGACGATGTCATCAGCAAAGCGAAGATGGTGTAACTGCCGACTGTCGATTTTCACTCCCATATTATCCCATTCCAATGTTCGCAAGACGTTATGGAGTGTGGCGGTAAATAATTTTGGCGAGATGGTATCGCCTTGCCTAGCTCTTCTTTTGACGTTAATGTTAATACTGTTGTAGAATGGTGATATCTTGGTTGTGAAATTTTTGTACAGCTCACGAAGGATCTTTATGTGCTGAGTAGGGACACCTTAACTATCAAGGGCTTCCAAAACTGCTTCTATCTCAACTGAATCAAAGGCCTTCTGTAAATCGATGAAAGTGAGACAGAGCATGTGGATGTGGTCCACTGTACTAAATCCTCTTCGAAACCCTGTCTGCTCACATCGCTGTCCTTCCTCCAGTGTTCTGTCATTCCTGTTTAGGATGACTCGAGTGAAAAGTTTGTAGACGACAGACAACAGATTAGGCGATAGTTGCCGATATCGTGTAGGTCACCCTTCTTGAACAATAACACGGTCCTGCTGGTCTTCCACTGAGTAGGGATCTTGCATTCAGACAGGTAACGTGCGAAGAGCCGAGCCAGTGTGTTTACGAGGACTGGCGCAAGGTTATTCGGGTGTTCCGGTCTCATCCTGACCGGACCTGGCGCTATTCGATTTTTCACCCACGAAATGGTATGTCGGATTTCGGAAGGGAGAACCGGTGGTACAACATACCCATCCTCCTTTATTTCATATGACGGAAGGTGGACGTGGCTATCGAAGAGATCCGAATAGTAATCGTGAATGATTTTCTCTATTGCCTTTCTGGACGCTGTAACTGTTTCATCTGGGTGCCGGAGTGCAACCATTTTGGTCTTGTAATTGGCGAAGCTTCGGCGGGTTTTGCGAATGCTTTTCCCAATCTCTGCAGCTTCGACCATTACTGCTGCTCTTCTCTCTTTAAGATCTCCTTTTATCGCCTTTCTGCATTGTTCTGCAAGTTCGGACGCTAGTTCGCGGCTGCCTGCAACTCGTGCGATTCCACGCTGGCGTATCATCTCGAGTGTTTCTGGAGACAGACGTCTCTTAGTGACTTTCGAACTCTGAGCTTTCATAGCGCTAACGTGAAAATGTTGAATGGACAGAACGTATTTTTCGTCGATGTTATCGTCTTCCCAACAGCCGACTAATGAATTGAATACGTCCCAGTTTGCGGTGGTTCTGGGACTTCGGTTTTAGAATTTAGCGGCTTTTTCGCCTTTCCGCGAGGAATAGAATCTTGCACGAAGGAAACGGCGTTCTGATCCCGTGTAGAATTTTGGGACAACAGCGACATCGATTAGGCAAAACCTTCTGCTTACTATGATGTGGTCTATTTCGTTATGGTACTATCCATTGGAAGACTCCCACGTCCAGCGCTGAGAGTGGGGCTTCTAAAATTACGAGTTACCATGGATTGTCTTGGTCGCCATGACAAACTCAGATAGCCGCTCACCTTGTTCGTTCCAATCCAATCCGTGCAACCCAATGTGATGTTCTTCTTGGTCCAATCTTGTCGTTGAAATCTCCAATGGTGGGTGACCTTGAAGAATGTGTTGTCTTCTCTGTAGAACTTCTCAAAGTCCATATAGAACGCTTCGACTTCTTCTTCGTCATAGTTTGATGTCGGCGCGTAAACGGCGAGGATTGTTAAGGCCGAAATTGATTTACGTCTTTTTAATCGTAAACGTCCGATTCGGGTTGTAAGTTGTTCGAATGAATTGGTGTTCATGGACAAGCTCGTGCTGACGAGAACGCCGACGGCGCCGACTTCTCTACTGTCGCATGTTCCGAGGAACAGTTCGTCTCCGGTGTCATAGACGATGTTGAAAGGTTGGCGTATTCTCGTCTTGGCCAGGCCGATGACGTCGTATCTTATCCTTCTTGCTTGCATGAGCAAGTCTTCTACCGAGGACTCAGATGCAAGTGTACGTGCATTGTAGGTACAGATCGTCAGCATAGTTCTTTGAAATCCAGGCAGCTTCCATTGGCCCTGAGATTTTAGCAGCCTCTCCGTACTCGTCCTACCCAACACTGCAAAATTGGGGGCTCTTTTGAGGTGAGGGAAATGAGGCCCGTTTTTTTTTTTACTGTGTTTACCATTTTTGATACCCACGTATAGCTTGCTGGTCTCTGAACGTGGAGGCTGGGTATACTCACGGGTAGCTTGCCAGGCTCTCCCAGAGTGGACATGGAGCTTATTTGTTGGAAGCGACTCCTAACCGCCTCCCATATACTTCCCAGTCACTTGATTGCAGGCTTTTGGCCGTATTGACTCGTAGAATACAATCCGCATAAGCAGGAACGCACCCACACACGCATGCATGAATACGCCTAGCAAATACAGAAAGTATGTGCCAAATCGCCGCAGGAAAAACAGGGAGTCCATCTCATGGATTCACCTGCGTCTCGTGGAAGCAAAGGTCGCTTTTGGTTCGCGATTAGCCCCCTATCCGCCACCTGGGGATGCGCCACGTATCCTCGCGACTAACCGGCTCGAGATCCCACATATGAGGGAGATCCGTGGATCCATAAAAACAGAACTGCAAAATATTCATGTCATCTTTGCTTTGGTCAATCTATTGTTACAGTACAGTTACAGTCGACCTGTGTGTAGTACGATATCTGGTACATCCGTTTTCTTCATGTTCACATAAAAGGATGCGTGTGGCGCGTGGTCGGAGGCGCCCTGCAACACACATGTGGAATCGATCTCCGCGCCCATGGCTCACCAAGTCTTCCATCGCTCCGGGGTCGGCAAATCGGTACCAGACTTGTCTGAGAGGGTAGCACCACTGGCAATGTACATCGGTAGGCCACCGCAAGTCATTGTAAAGGCCTGATATGCATTCAATCATTTTCGAACGATACTTGATGAAGTCGAATTCTTGGCGCATCCCTCAGGGATTGATCAACGCCAAGAGCGTTATTCTTTTATCCTTTTATTTAATCATACAGATAGATTTATCGATCGCTCGACAACAGCGTTTTTAAATACACTCTTGTATTGTTAAGCAAGTGTGAAGCTGAGAAAAAAATTTATTCCGTTAACGTTTCGACGTCTTCGTCTTCATCAGAACCGATGATCTGAGTCGATGGTCCACGGTCGGTTTGATAAACCGTGTTTGCCTAATAGCTATGTGCTAACTTTCTTTCAGGGTTTCGTTCTTTTGCAGGAAAGAAAATAGTGGTTGTGGAACACTGGAAAATAAAAACACTAAGTCACCCGCCCACTTCTGTGCTTCTTCGTCATACTTCTCCATGTAATTGTTCAACAAGGTGTGGATTATTCGTCCCTTATACAGCTCAATGTTAGCCTGAGCAACATAGCCAAGTTGTGGCACCATACGATCTCTAGCGTCTATTAAAACGGCATAGTTAGGATTATTCGTCCACTCCTGTAATTTTGTAGATGTCTTGGCAAAACTAGCACTGAGAATTAAAAAAATCTAACGCACCTGATTTCCTTTGTGCACTTTTTCGATGAATTTTTCAGAAGCTTTAGCTTTCAGATCCCAACCAATTATCACTCCCCGATAGCCATGTTTCTGAATATATTACCTTCTTCTAATGTCTCCTTGCTCTTTTTCTTTTGTATTTTTAGAATTCTGGATTAAAGACGATATAATCGAGGACTTAGAAAGCAATCGTCACATCGTCCTTTAATGGTCGGTTGACCACCAAGGCTTTGTAGGGATTCGTTGTAGGGGCGAAATACATGCTGGACCAGCATTCAGCATATAAGAATTAGAACAAATACAGAGCTTTTAAAACCCAACTCGAAGCAGCACATGAACTCGATAGGAGCAGAAAACTAAGAAACTTTGAATAAAGCCGGTGTTACTTTGTACAAATATGCAAGTAGTTTTTTTTTTTGACAAGAACCACGATTACATACAAATCTTGGCCAAGGTACAATTTCCCCTATCTTATCGAAACGAGTTTCTGATTTTTTGTCCTTTTGTTTGTTTCGTTGTTTTTTCCTCGCCGTTGAAGTCCCTACATAGAACAACAGAACGACTAAACAAGTGAAATTCTTCTCAATAGAATATAATAAATGATAAAAGGATAAAGCTTACGGCGTTGATCAATTCCTGAGGGATGCGCCATGTCTTCGACTTCATTAATCATCGTTTGGAGGTGATTGCATATCTGGCCTTTACAGTGACTCGCGGTGGCCCACCGATATATCGAACTAGTGTAGCTATCCTCTAAGAGAAGTCTGGTACCAATTTGCCGACCCTGGAGGAATGGAAGGCTTAGTGGGCCACAGGCGCGGGGACGGATTCCACATGTGTGTTGCAGCGCGCCTCAGACCATTGAGCCATACGCGCCCTTACGGAATGTAATGGTACTCCAAATGCGCCGTTGATTATACCAATGTTTAAATTGGACTGTGTTAGCGAAGAACGAATTTAACGTCACTTTTAATCAACTACTCATCGAGGGTAATCAAAAAACCGATGGTGCTGATAACGCTAATAACGGTATGCGAAATTTCTTGTACTGCTTGTCAGAAATGAATGGAAAGTTCAGAATGAAGATGATAGCGGTAACCGACCAATCAAGACAGTACCTAACAAGTATTAATTTTCCGATGATACACAATTTGGAATGGACGGACAATTTCTACTTGGATGCGTAGAACCCATATAAAGAAACCACCAATAAATTTTTATGGTCCATAATTGTTAGATGGTTATGAAAGCGATGAAAAAATACAGTAAAGGTACATTCGCCGATTAAAGGTAACGATCGAAGGGACAACTTTACAATCGCGCAAAACTTTTTGTGAACACAAGGGATTAAATGTTGTGCTTTGTACTGTTCGAGAATCTTGATTTAGTATCTTCTCTGTTTGGTCATATAGGTGTTTGGCTGTGTAGATTGCGGTTAACTTGACCATTCAAGGCTCTGAGAAAGGCAAAATCTGCCGAAACGCCAGCTTGTTCGTAAATAAAGAAATAAAGTAGCATCCTGTGTTTGCTCAACAAGAACATAAAGACGCTATGTTGGTCGCTATAAGTTAGAACGATCCTCCCACTCCAAAACTGTAAGCCGTATCAGATACGTTAAACTAGATGTGTCCAACGTTGGAAACTTTCTGATTAGAATGATCCATTATCCATAGCCATAAACTAAATCATCGACACTAGTACATCTTCGAATGGTGCCATTATCTTGCTACTACCACCGTTGGAGGTTATCAGGCTCCTGTGTGAAATGGATTCGAGGACTACTCGTCTTGACATAAGCTGAGCATTTATAAAGAGCGTAACAACCTCGTCATAACAGAAAGTTACGTAAATTGTGATGTCAAGAGGTCTTTTAAAGAAACTTGGATACATCATCATTGGGAAAGACGCTATCGATTTAATGGAAAGATATAGCAGGAATATGGGACTCTTGAGACCTAACATTTCGGATAAACTACACATCGTTTATGACTAGTGTGAACAGATCGCAGGAATATGGGACTCCTGAGGCCTAACATTTCGGGTAGACTACACATCGTATATAACTAATTTGAACACCAGTGTGTTAAAAACATTAACCAACTCTGATCATCAGCACACTGTGTATACACAAACAATGTTCTGCAATTCTGCTCAGTTAGGAAAAATCTATTTTGCCAATTGCCCTGGATATTGCAATGTTACTTACAAACATTAGAACATCTGCGTGAACAATTGCCGTTTTGATGACATATTCGTACTCCCAGACAATTTCACTCATGAAGCAACAGAGAAGTTCGGATCCTTAAACAGAACAGAGACTTCAAGAAAGACCATCAACAATATAGATCAATATGCTCGTCAAACACCAAACCGACAGTGTTTCTAGCTGGAGCTGCTGCGTTATACTAAAACAGACCAGGAAAATGGATGAGGGTCACGAGTGGCTCTAGTGGATGAAAGGTGTATCAGAATTGATACTGCATATGATGATGAACTGTGAAAACACTGATGAGTGTGTACTGCATCAACTACTTCCTATCCCTGTTGATTGAATAGAAATGTTATACAGCCTCTAGAACATCTTTCTTTACCAAAATAAAAACTTCCAAAAGAAATGGGTCAGTGAAATCAATCCTGTGTTTGCCTTAGTGTTTCAGAACGTACCGTAAGGCTATCTGAGAAAAGATCATTGCTTGCACCTAAATTCTATCTATGAAAAAGTAGCTTAACACTATCACAACGACATCTAGTTTTGGTTTTTTGATGAGTGCACGGCTTCTAATTTTTCGTTACTCTCACTGTAACAAGCATAGGTATCATACTTTCTGCTGCGATTCCCGTCCTATATATGGTTTTTCCTCTGCCTTTTGAGGACATTTCTGCGCTTCTCTGGTCCTCTGTATGGTCTATGTTCTTCTATACACCCTCCTTTAGTTTTGGTGGATACAGAACTCTTGCGTGTGAAGAATAAACACTCGCACACTATGCAATTGTTTACTGCCAGTACTTATTGATGTTGTATGACTTCTGCAAAGAACATTACGATGTAATCCCTTGCGGTTTTGCTATTCCCTCATTCCACACAATATCCAGAGGTCATCATAGCGACTGAAAATTAGAAAACGACAAATTACTAGTCAAAAATGATGCCGCACACTTCATGCTTTGCCAGTTCTTCGAGGCGGGGGCATTTTTCCTCCTTCACGGCCACATCCTCTACACGGCACGCTCCCTTGTTGAACAGCAATAGTCTTCTGCCTACGAAATGAGAAATTAGTGAAAATCATTAAGAGGACAGCCACTCATGGATGACTCTCGACACAGCGCCTGTGTTGTATAAGCTACCGACTGATTACAAGAAGTCTAGGAAAAAACTTATGTGCACCAAAACGAACTACCAGAAACTAAATGAAACCTACAGGTGTTTGGCCATTCCTGCAACTTCTTTACGACACATGAAGAAGTCGCTCGTTGCAAGAGTGTTAATGTTAACGTTTCCTGTACGAAGTGCGAGGACAAGTGAGCATAATATGGCTTTTGATTAAGATTCTACCATTTCATTTGTTACGAATAAATGGAGAACTAGGCTGGAGGGAGGAAACCAAGGAAACCAACGACCATATTGTTGACCTTCCATTACAACAAGCTATTATAAAATTTCAATAAGTTGGAAACTTATGATCAGACCAGTGAGGGGCACAACCTATACAAATAATAGAAAGAATCCATCATGAATATTTGATAGCTCAACAAATACCTTATGTTTAATGACTTGCCCAATTCTCCACTGCACATTCGGTGCGCGTTCGCGAACTTGCAGCGAGCCTGTAAATCAGGGTTTTTCTCGGTGTAACTCGGTCGTTCGTAGAAAAAAAATTCATTCGTGCTAAAAAAGTCCTACTTCCATATGAGGCCGAGTCAGATCGGTCGCTCTCGTCCACAGCATCGTCTTCAAAAATGGGAATACCCTTATTTTTCCTGATGCGGACAAATGGTAGTTGAAGTCCAAACTGTTCAGTGATCGCAATGATAGAATCGACTAACCTTGAAAGCGAAAGTTTGAAAATAAGAATACTTAATGTTAAGACTTAATAGAAGACTGAAACGGCACCATCCTCATACATAATGCAGAGACGTCGCCATATGTAACAAGATATCGGAAATCAGGTGGACCAGAAATGTGGTGCATCTTAACGACTACCGGTGGACAGGAGCCATTAGCGACTGGGTCTCATCTCGACCAGAATATCATGCGTACAGCCCGACAATCAGAATTTTACGCGAAGGTCCCAGAACAAAAAAGATCATGCGTAGCGAATATCCAGTGGAAAGAATCAACTCCAAAAAGGTAGATTTTATTGCACCCACATCTTCAGATAAAATCTAAGCAAGTTTACACAAAGTCGAAATTATTGGCTAGTCGAATGGACCAACTTACTTGTTTAAAATACTGAGTTCTTCATAGCAAATCGCATAAATGGATGGTAAAAACGTAATCAACTATGGAATAGGACTGGAAGCGGTGGTCGAAAGTTCACCACTCAAATCGCCTAATATTTAAAACAGTTGCCAATTAATGTTACCTTTTCGAATACCGTAAGAGCGGAAACCGGAAGCGACGACGAGAGGGCTTAGAGGAAAACAGGACCTACTGTATAAGTCAGATATCTGAAGAATGTATTGTCTACGTAGTTTAGCGAATGATTTTCATGGTTTTCCTGGGAGATGGAGATGGATGTGCCATTTCACTGGAACGCAGAGTGTTCTAAGGTGCATGCAATATGTGTAGATAGGAATCTAGGTAAACACCGTTCTCTCAAAACTCAGGTTACCCTTTAAAGCAATCATAACATTATAAGTACTACAGAGCAGTTAGAAAAATACTGGAGAAAAAGTCTGAATATGTCCTCAGCAACAGAAAAAGTAGTGGAATAGAAAACAGACATAAAGAACTAACGAATTTGCATACTTACAAGAGTCTTTCGTTTTGTTGCTTTCAATGTAAACCACTGAGCTTTCCACCACGCGATTTTTCATGGTCGTTCAAACGAACCACTACGGGTCAAACAGACAACTTCAGCACCTAGTCCTCATTCATCTTTACACAAAAAATGACTTTGTTCTAAACTAGTACCCCTTCTAGGTAATGTTGACAAATTGCCATTTTATAACCACAAATGTTCAGCTTATAAAACCTGACCTCTGTTTTAGGCGTAATAACGTGTGCTTCCTCCCTACAGTTTACCGCCTTGTCGTAGCTGGGTGCTCCTGGGTGTCGCACTGCAATATACAGCGGGGATTCATGCCTCAGCAGGGTCTCTCAAGCTGAGGAGTCCGACGTTTCCAACAGGAAGCCAAGCTAAGAGTAAACCAATATTCTTAACCACCAGGAACCGCAGTGACTTAGCCAGCAAAACTCCGAAAAAGTGGAAATTATGGTGGAGTCCGCACAACCAGTGAAGACGCGGCATCCAAGTATCCAAGTAACTAAGAAATGTGTGCCTAAGGCAATTGTACAACAGCACACGTATACGTGCTAAGCAATATTCCACCTCCTTAGTAACGTAAATTGGAACTGCACTTATTCAGGTTTAACATTAGCTATAGAACAAGTAATACTCGAATACTTCGTCAAGAATAGTAGCAATACAATACCTCTTTTTTCTAACAGTACGACGCTTTCTGGATCGCATTTCTATTACACTTCTACTAAACGGCAAAACAATTAACCGTTAATATCAAACAATGCAACCGATGTGGGAAAATAGCACTTACCTCTGTATGTAATATTTCATATCGGAACTCGATGACGGAGACAAATAGTACTGAAGAGGCACGACCAATACCAGAATCACAAAAACTAAGCCAGGATGAAGATCCATGCTTGGAATGGAATGAAGAACCTTCTTGAAAACACTCTGTAAATCGCCATAACTGCCTTTTCATATCGAAACGATACAGAAGGAATGCCAGTCTTGGTTTGGTTGCAAGAAAACTCGGTTTAAGTGATTCAGTTTTCACGAAGTCATGAAACACTTGTTGGCCTTAAAAATACACCACTTCTATACTAAAAACGAGGATTTAGGGGATGTTTATATCTTCCAAGGTGATCAGTATACACTAGTCAATACGAGTTGACTTCAACTCATATTTGATGAGATGGATTTGGTGATATAGCTTGCCATATCTCAAACACCGGAAGTATTAGCAGTTTTCAACCTTAAACAAGCACAATTCAGCTCTTAGTAATCCAGTTAACTAAAAAGGAATCATTAGGATGATCCTCAAAACACGGCGAATAAGATTCCAACTTTCATGCTGGACCAACAGGAAATGCTGATTTTTCCCTCAAATTGCTTTCTTTTTCGTTCTTTGTTGTTGACATTCGAGTACCAAATGGTCAAACAGCTGAACAATCCAAACCTCGCTCAGTTCGATGCGACGGCGTTCCCGAATATGTTCAGTTTGGGAAGTTGTCTTGACCGTATATAAAAATTGAAGAAACCGAAATCCCACCTCCGAATTTTAAAAGTTTGAAAATCACCAGACCTAAGATTGGAGTAAGATTCTGGAAGGATTATATATACCCCTTTATAGAGAATGTCTTCTATCACATGAAGGATCAATATGGACACACTACAACTAGACCTTTCATACAAAAGCTATAGAATGCTTCCATCACATAGGCATTATGTAAACATTCATTGGTTGTCCTTCGAATTTCTCTGTGGTAAACAATGGTTTGAATACCTAAGCTGGAGGTTCGGCGCAGCTGCAAGTCCCGTGTGGTGTGCGGCGCAGGTCGTCGACACCACTCTGAGGTGCAACGCTTGCCCGAAGGTTATCACCGTCACGCTTTACCCCACAGCTCAACTCGTCATCAGACTCGACTCACGCAGTTGAACGCTACGTTATCTGGGTAAACCTACCATAAAAGCTACTACTGATTAACCTCATTTACATTACAACGCTCAAGCACCAGGTTGTACGAGATCACTGCACGCAAGCAATTATTGACCTAGCTAATGAGTTAGAAGCTTTGTTAACAACTGTCAAAAGCAGATGCCTGCTCGTAGTAAAAAAAAACGACGAGAAAGAAAGGCGAACAGCCCTCTTCTGTTATCATATTCTTTGCACTGAAAACACGGCCCACGATATGGACGTCACTGAGATGAAGTATGGACAAGAATACTACCCCGATATAAGGAACCTAAATGAGTCTTAACAACCGACTGAAAAGTGCGGATGTCCTGTTCAAGAATGGAATTATTTGGGCTGATCCAACAGTGTCGCAGGAAACTCACCTCATCCTCTACAAATTGGATGACAAGGAACTAATCAATAAACGACATAATCACCACTCTAACACATAAAGAATGTTTTCTATTCATTTAGATAAATCACAGCTGCCCGTTCTTCACATCAACTGCAGAATGCTTCTGCCTCTCATTACTGATGCAATGATGCCGTACTTACTTGACACAAACGATGGTTTAGTCACCCAAGTTTGGAGCACCCGCGACGAAGACGGTAAGCAAGACCTACATGGTTATGGCAAGCAGGCGCAAGCAGATACGAGCGACCAGCCTATACCACCGAGCGCACGAGAGAGCTAGTAATCTCCATCACTTTCTTCCAGAACCTGACGTCATGGAGGTATCTGGCAGCCGTAGCCTACAGATCTGTTACACTATCTTGTCTAAGTACTCAAGACTATAGAGGATAAGCGATAAAGCTCTCGGCGTTGACCAATTTCTAAGGTATGCGCCATGCTTTTGAATTCACCAAGCACTGTTAGAGGTGATTGAATGCATAACTGACCGATGCCATAACTTGCGATGGACTACCGATGTATCGACTCAGGGTTGTTCTCCTCTCGGACGTGTCTGGTGCCAATTTGCCGACGCCAGATAGGTGGAAGGCCTGGTGACCCTGAGGGGCGGAATCGAACTTATGTGTATTGCAAAACACCTCTGCCCACTGCGTTACACGCCCCTCTTATTCAAGAGTAACACCTATATACTAAAGAAGTCTCTATTAAGCGTACTCCTATAATAACTGGTGTATCCGCCCCACCACACCCTCTACTTGTAAAAAAACAGACTCCGTATTAAAGTAGTTCGTATGTGTAAAACTTCATATTACTAGAGTCTTAAATGGATAAATTTCATAAGGGTCATCCAAAAATACCTCTTCAAACAAAATACTTCCACAGAGTATAAATTAGTCTTTTATCTAAATAAAGCTACACTTAAGAAAACACACGATTACCACATGTTCAATAACGATAGCATCTAACACGACCAAAGAAATTGCATCGACGCTTAATCATTGAGGACGGTGTGGCCGAGGAGTTTAAAGCCTTAGGAAGGCGTTGTTACCACGATTAAAAAATCTCATAGTAAAAAAAACCCCCATGAAACATTCATACCACACCTCATGGCAAAACTGTTAATAGAACCCGTATTTTAAAAAAAATCCATTCAAAGGTGCTAAGCATATGTATTAGAGACAACGAACCACCTTGGCCCTTAACCACACATGATTACCCATCTTTATCTTTTTTGTCGGTTATAAAAGACGGCACAAAAGGTTAAACAACTTTAAACTGATTACATAAGAGAACGTAGAAATCTGTACAAAAAAGGATTATATCTAAACAAGAGAGTGCATTATATAATATTCATCCCTACGTGAACGTGGGCTTTCAGAGTGGGACACATTACACACGGAGGTGAAAGAAGCTCGGATTACAAAAAACTGTTTGTATAGATGATTCACAGAACATATAACTTTAGGACATGATCAATTGGAATCATGTTCCCTGTTCTTGGGCAGCGCACTATATTATCGACCTAAAAACAAGTGAATTATCTGAAACGACTAACTATACCATAGCTGCAGAACAAAATAATGAAGGGTTGTGCTATGAAGGTATGTTTGCCTCAGAAGGAAAACCGTAGAAACCGTACGCTTGGATAATGTTAAAACAAAAATAAAGGTACCTGCAATTCACGTATAGCCTTTTCACCATACACCCTTCCGTCAGGCATCATCATTGGATGATTCTCTTCGTTTAAGGCCTCACCGGAGAAAGAACAGATCAACCTAGGAAACACTATACCTCGGTAGCTAAAGGCTATTTTCTTAACAAAATTTCAATTGGTGATAAGATGAAGAAATACCGTGAGTTCACAGTATGGGCATATGGAAGGCCTTCTGCTAATGCAAACGCACATGGCTGACATGTGGGACATTTTTCTACACCTCCAGGGGTACAGTGCGGTGTTTTGTAGGCACTTAAACCACACTGAAGGCACATTGCAAATGCTGATTGGCGTGGAAGCTGCAACAATATGCACACTGACGAAACGCTCTAATGTGCAATCAGTACTTCTATCTATAAGTTCTTCCAACCTGATACAAAGTGAAGACTTCTTCACGAAAGAGATCGGCCAGTGCCTGCCAACGATGAGCGCTTAGAAGTTCCTTGTACGCAGGTATTTCATTGTGAGCATGCAGAGCAATGAGACCCATCAACTAAACCACGACAAAGATTAGGCAAAAAAATTGATCCTTGATCGGTGTCATCACTACGAAAATGGTGGTTCGAACAAGTGGTATGACAAAAAGAAGGCTTTCAAGGCGTCCGAGCTTCCTCCTCAGCACTCACCTTCATCGCATCGTCACACCACTCATCTTTGGACGCACCCAAATGTTTCCTCACATACAACAAAGCATCTTTCACTCTATCACTGCGTACCAATTCTACAGCATTCTAAACAGATGTACAGATAAAAATGGCTTAAACAAGGAAGCTGTAGAATGTCATGAGTTTGAAATTATGTTAGGCTTACTACGATTTAACTATTCAAATGCTGATTGGCTATTCAAATGTTGGATAGGATGGTATACGTACAGTATTTTAAAATAATATACTCAGTAAAAGTCATATGTCTCAATTCTTTGCCTTTCATTTTACTATGTAATTTTCTTCATATTTTTCGTATTCAATCAATAGCTCATCCGATACATATTCCGAGGAAAGTTACTTTTCGTACTCTATATTGCACATAAAATTTTTCTTACAAGTTTGCTTGTTTCGCAATAGATGACTGAAGGCATAAATCCAGCAGGATAATCAAGAATGAAGAAAATGATAAGATATATCACGCTACGATTAGATGCCCTTTGTACTCACAGGGCCGTGGCCTATGGTGAAGGCTGTTAGTGCTTATTTTGAGAGCTGAGTAGCAATACATAAGTCAGATATCACCCAGTACCGTCGGGATTATGTGTTGAGCCCTTCGCAACGCCTACTTTTCGGTTGCATCTTTGCAGACTATGCCCAATTTCTATGTCGTTGGATGTTACTGAACTCAAGTCATACAATTCGCTCTTTTCCCATGCTTTTAGAATATTTATAATCCTTTTGTGCGATGAAAAAAGCCTCACTCAACGTCCAAGTATGATGCTGTGTGCCTTTAGTAATCAAATGCCACGCAGTGCACGCCTAATCACCTACTCGACTTCATCTTGGACCAATCGAGTCCTATCCTTTCAAGATCAAAAAGTTGGCATCATATTTGTCTGTGAAAACCATACCCATATCCATGAAGGCGGAAGAATGATATTATGAAGGACCAGCGAACGCTTTAGTGGTGTTATGCCAGGGTTCAAAGGAAAACCAACTCGACCAGCCAGCACTTAGTAACATTCACCATGAAGACAAATTCAAATGGCTCTCGAACCCGTACACAAATTCGAAGCCCCCACTGCGGATGAAGGATGGGAGACTACGAATGGACTGAAGGTAATGTTGCGATCACCACAACATATGAAGACGATTCATATGATTGAATGAATAAATAGGTAAATAAGTACTAAAATACCTAGGGATTCTTATTCGTACTCTTTCTCCACCCACGTTTAAACAGCATGGAACTGAAAACAATGCCTTCAAAGGTGCACTATGTGAAAGCACACTGATATCCTTAACGCTTTCCTCAACAGGAATCTCCTCTTTCTTAGGCTACAGTACCAGCACCGAGGGAACAAATTCACGGAGACGACTCCTTGTAAATTACTAAATGTAGAGCATAAATTTCTACACCTTTCATAATATATGGGTAGAAAAGAATACTGAATGGATACAAACGCATAAAAAAAAGCTCTCGGGATTGATCAACCCCTTAGGGATGCGCCACGCATTCAACTTCATTAAGCATCGTTTGGAGGTGATTGAATGCATAGCTGGCCTTTACACTGACTCTCGGTGGCCTACCGATGTATTGAGCCAGTGCTACTATCCTCACAGACGAGTCTGGTAACAAATTGCCGGCCCCAAAGGGATGGAAAACTTGGTTGATCAGATGCGCAGGATTCCATCCCACGTGTATTGCAGGGTGCCTCCGACCACTGCGCCACCGGCACTCCTAGAAACGCAAAGTAGAAGAAGTCCTTAAGATTAGAAGGGATAAGTTAGAACAAAGAGTGTATAGTATTTTCAAACCAGTGACGTAATCTAATATCAATCAATACTAATATCACAACAAGGACTTCAATACCTGATCATTACCTTTAAACCATATGAAACAGCAATGAGAAACGAAAACAAAGAGGAATGACTAGCTGAAATAAGTGCTGCGACGATATAATTTGATATACACGATCATTTTTGCAACGAAATGCAACCTATCTCCCCAAAAATATATTTCAACAAATTACGGACTTTACGAAATAAACGATCTCACTTGAACTCGCACTACTTGTTCCAACTTGCTGTTCATTCGTCTCAGTTTCGACCGATGTTCAGTAATCCATTCCAAACATGGAGCGGTATCCTTGTTAAGCAACGAACTGATAACCTAAAAAAACTGCAACTAGAAAGAGAACTGCGGTGAATAGGAATGCTAGAGAATAGCACTAAACCTACGTGCTGAACTTTAGAAAAGACTTCCACGTCCACCATGCTCTCGACATTCATGTCCGTGGCCAAAGCTCTTGCGCTATCAATACAACCACACCTTAGCATTTGCACACAAATGAGTCGCGCAACATGCTGTCTGTCTCGTTGCCATAACTCAAGCTCCCTTTGGTTTCCTCTTTCCGAGATGTCCTATGGTAAGAAACGATCAGACTACATGAAAAAGAGGTGTGCTTAGATAGTTTATCAACTATTTTAGCCTATTTCCCCATATTTTTTACAGCTTTTCCCTGTTTTCTTGGCTTTCGTTGGATGGTTTTGCGCATTGAGAGCAAGGTGCACGGTCTGAAACGTGCAACAGCGTAGATATTGAAGTCAATTTGTATAGTGGTAAGAAAGGTTTAAAAGAATGACGTGCTTTTCTAGCTAGATAACTGATATGTAGCACAGGACTAAAACTAATACCTCTAGCGATATTATACTGGCCCGTGAGCTCTAGATGGTCGTTCACTATATGGGATCTTATAAGCTGACTACTGAACAAATTGGGCAGTTGAGTCCTTTCAAAAACATACGATAATCATAACATGAACTTCTCAAACACAACAGCAACGAAAACGATTTGGGTAAGTGGTGATGGTAGTAGCGACCTGCTCTCCTAATACTCACCCACAAACCTAACTCATTGTAGGGGAATTCTAATGAAACGCTACTACATCTTAGGGAAGAGATGTCCCTTTCTAAGCAAATTTAACACCTATTCGATGATTTAACCTCAATAAGAGTCGTAAGGTGCAAAAATTATAGGTGCTTCGAATTCAGAATCAAGTAATCCACCTCAGGATGAATACTAATAGGCAAAATAAAAACTGTGAGAACTCGCATATTTATGCCTATATGGTGAAAGTGTTTTGCCTTATCATGACGGAATTCTAACTTTCTGGAACCCATGGCTTATATCTCTTCCACTTTATGGCTTCACGGCTCATATTTTGAACATGAAAGTCAGTGAACAGGTGTGATCTCATTCAGCATGACACCGTTGTATATCCCTGTGCATCTTTTGTGTTTGTAGGTGTCGCTCTTTTGTTAGAATCCATGAACCTCGTTATAAATTTTTTGAGAGTTTTAAGTTTAAACATATTTAAACTTGGAAGCCCATTCAACCAGCTTCGTCGTTAAGTGGTTAAACAACAAAACTTTACGAAAAACAATTGATCCTATTCCTACATTTCGATGTACTAAATTACCTCGTTTCTCAGGAAACGAATCCTTGACTGCATGTTCTTTATGAACTGTCTTTGTTTCTTCACAGCTTCCCTCTTCACAAAGTCGAGTTGTTCCAGTTTTGAGTGGAAATCGCGGAACGCCTCATGCGCCTATCATAAAAGATGATTAGTAAAAACATATGAATGAAAAAAATAAAATGAATCTGGTAGGCGAACAAGTAAATTAAAAAGGTGAGAGAATATGTAAACAGTTAGGCTATAAGAATCCGACAAACAAGATCGGACACCATACCAGTGACATAGAGACACATCCATCCATCTCAGAGAGTATGGCCCGCAGGTTTGAAATGGACCTTTTGAGTCCTGCTCCGGCCCGCTCCATATTCTGGAACAATTCGATCACTTATAACAAACAATTTTGGGTGCGTACCCAGACGCTTGAGGTAGGAAGGGATCCAGTTCGTACCAACCACTTTCCAAAATTGCGATTTGCTAGCATATCACGAGGATTAACCGTACCTTGTGTCCTCTCCGAAACTCCATATTGAGTTCTTCATAAGGAACTTTGAATGTAGCGTATTCTAAGACAGCGTTTCTATCTAGTTTAACCATACTTGATACCCAAACTAGTATGTTGACGTTATAAGAATAGTGAATAGATAAAAGCAGTTGTGGTTGACGGGACAGATAGCGCTCGACTTATCCGAAGATAAGTTTGATCACGATAACGATGATATTAATCCCAATAAGGGGCACTGAAATCGTAGTGATGCTTTCAAGTCAGAGGAGGAAAAAAAACGAAGAAAAATCGACAGAGGATGATTTTGACAGAAACCCACTACGCATAACAGTTTGAACTGCCAGGACAAGACTGATGAGCTGAGTCTTCACCGATTCAGCTTCTGGTTCGAAAGAATGCGAAGGCACACTAAATCCGTGCTGAAACGAACAAGATATCCCGAACTAACGACGATCCGAGAGTTAAAAGCACGATAAAAAAGAACGAGGACTTATCTTGTTCAGAAATCGTTCCCGGTGTAGTACAGCAATACCGTTGAGAAAAAGCAATACGGCCTCCAGAAGATTGTAAAAGGACAATGTCATAAATCTAAAATGAGGCCACTGAACATATGAGATCTCGTGAACAACAGACGAAAGAAAGTGTTAGAAAACCCCATTCCCGGAAAAACACAGCCTCATCGGTCCACTTTGTGGCAATGCACCGAGTGACGCGTGGCTCAACTCGTGCTAGCTCTCAGGGCGACACTCAGCCGTGGTCGGAGCTCACTTTGTCCCTCGGCCACACTCCATTTCATGCACCGTTTTTTCTTTTTTTCGCATTATTTGATTCTGTTCTTAAACTGGCACGTTACGATTTCCTTGGTTTCATTCGTAGTGCTTTAGAATGGTTTTAGCAGCATGAAATCAAGGAATGGACCTGAACTCTTCTTCGTCTGTGCCTTCGTGTGCCGCATCAGAGAATGGGGAACAGTTTCCAGCACTTTTCCTGATGGAACTGTTTACGTTGGACAACCTTATTATGACAACTAACTCGTCCAGACGATCCAAGGTTGTTCCTCCTTACCTTCATTTCGATCTTCTTGGTTTCTTTTTTCTTTTTTTTCACTGTAGTTGAAATGTGATACAAAACATGAAATTTCAGCTTAGCTGCGTAACTGTCTCTCCTCAGTTCCTTTTTCTTGGCACTTCGACAGGCGGCGTTTCTGTATATGCACGCTACTCTTCATCGCGAAAGCGTTTGAAATCTCCAGCTGGACCTCTTCATTTCGTAAACACCAAGGATGGTCCTGTTGTTTCTGTGAGAATTTTTTAGTTATTCACGATTTCGCATTTATTTGTCGGATTAATCTCTAATACGATTTGCTGATACCTTGAAAAGTTGTAAAAGGTGTTGAAGGGGTGGGGAGTGTGGGGGCTGGGCAAAACTCACTTTAACATCAAAAGTTCCAGTAGGAGACACTGTGGGTTAAAATTGAGTTGAAATAAGTGCAACTTCATGTCCATAGTTTTCGATCGCTCTTGGGCCTTTGGATTTTTTAAATTTTGAGCTGCTATTCCATTCATCTGGCTATCGATACGTAACTTCTATAAATAGTCTTAATATGTTTCAAAAAGCCGTTTTGATTTTCATGTCTACTTTATACTCCATTTATAGGTTTTCTTTTTTGTTTGCTACATTTTTTATATTTATGGCTTAATACTTCGTGAGATACTTGGTCGACAGTGCACTTATTGACACAACCTCCTTCAGTTGATATACCTCTACACTTCTGGTTTCCCTAAATCTTCGTTTTATAGATGTGCGTTAGTCCCAAGGAAGGTCTTTTAGCCGTTGGTAGTGAGAGTGGACGGATTCATGTGATAGCGTTCTCGTCATCACCATCTCCTTTTGTTCATCTCCTTACAAGAGATTCAAGGAAACTAAGTAAAGTGGGTTTCCTCTGTAAGTAACCGAATTTTTCTTAGGTCTCCTCGAATTAGGAATCGTTCGACTCCATTTTAGGTTACGTGTTTGGCTTGGTCTACTGACTCTAAAACTCTCTATTCCGGACATGTTAATGGTCTCATCCTGGCACATCATACTGGGGTAGGTTTCTTGCCTGGATTCACTTTTTCGATACGAAGCTTTTCCCTAGTTGTGTTCAGTTGCAGGCTAACTATTTCTTCCGCTCATCTTGTACAACTCTAGCAACTTTCAATGACGGAGACATTGTTCAGCTGGACGTCAATAGTTCTAAAGTATTAGTATCTACTCAACGAGCATCATACATTTGTGATATTGACGGAAAGAATATCATCCAAGTTCGTCTAATGTCCTTATTTCATTGTTTAGATTCTCTTTGGAAAGTGTATGTTCGTGCCATTACAAGTAATGATTTTCGCCTTTATAGATTGGGAAGAAGATTCGAAATGGGCCTATGGGTGCTTGTTTTTTTCCATCCGGTACTAAGAATTTCATAGAAACGGTTGATGGTTTTGTTTTGGCAGCGCGGCCTAATGGACGAGTTTGGGAATCCAACTTCGCAGGAGTTGTCTACAGGTAGATTGCCACTCTCTCCTTCGGGTCAGACAAAAACCTTTATGGCTTTTAGTTAAATGCTAGGATTGGTTTTTGTCTCATGCTAGATGGACGTAAGATATCTCGTTTATTATGAGCAGGACCCATCTGCTTCGAGATAGCGTAGCTACGTCACTTTCTCCTGTTATTTCCTCTCGTACTAATTATATGTATACGAAGAAAGAACTCTGTTCTGTTCCTGCCACCATATCCGATCATATACAACTCGGCATTCTAAAACTAGTTGTTGTTGAGGGGTGAGTTTATTCACAATTCTACCATTTTCATCTCTTTTCGCAATCTTGCTCACTAATTGACTTTGGGAAATATTTCAGTTTTTTTTAACACATAAAGATCGACGTGGGCTTATTTTCAATCAGTTTTCTTTCTAGTCATTTATTTTGCTCTAGTGCGATTTTTGCTCAACATTTTGTATTCACTAGGTAACCTAGGCACTATAGAGGTTTTGCTGAGCGTCGACTCGGGAAAGCTATTTCCTACACTTAGTTATTTACAACAACCCTGCTTACGAATTGGTTCACCAAGCCATAAAAGCCGTTGCCGATAAGGAAGATGCGAAAATAACATGAACTACATTCTTAGTGTCAATATCCTCAGAGTTACCCTGCTATTTTATAAGAAAACGACAATACAGACATATTAGAAAGGATAAAATAAAAACTTACGGCGTTGGTCAATTCCTTAGGGATGCATTCGACTTCATTAAGTATCGTTGGAGGTGATTGAATGCATATCTGGCCTTTACTCAGACTCGTGTTGGCCGATCGATGTATCAAGTTAGTGCTGCTATCATCCCAGACAAATCTGGTATCAATTTGCCGACCCTGGAGAGACGGAAGGCTTGGTTGGCTAGAGGCACAGGGATCGATCCTATGTGTGTGCTGCAGTGCGCCTCCGGCCACTGCGCCACACGCCTTCTCCCCACCCCCCTCCCCCCTCACAGACGTATTAAAGCCATGTTAAATTAAATTACTGCATCACATATAACCCGTTTGTTGTCGAAATTAAGTTGGCTTTCCTGCTTTCCTACATTTACGACGAGGCAAGTTTTTCGAAGATGCGTTTCAAGGGCTCCACAAAATTGGAAGTTCCTCGTGGTTGAACAAGACATCTTGTGTTCTGTAGGCGATAATGGACTCAATCTAATGTTTCTACTTTAATACGACTAGTATATGTTGGTTTAAAGTTTGAAATAGCCACTACTTTTGAACTACCACTACACCTATGACTTCACATATAGTCACTCCTGTCGTAAATCTGTTAAACAATTAAATCCGAGCCTGTATTGGAATTTTTGAATTAAAATCAGAACCATTAGACTCCACATATTTTTGCTAGCAAAGTATCAGTTTTCGTTTTTTAAACTGGTGCATCTCTTATTTTATGGAGAGCACAAATGTCGTTCTTCTGTCCGTGATCGGATTTCTATTGCCACAGCAATTGAACAAGGTGTTTTTCATCCACCAGGACCGCTGGTGTCTCCGGATGTGCCAGTGGTTTTTCTATTCACGCCATTCTACTAAACACTTTGAAAAACTTCTATTCTGTTGGTGTTCTACTTTTCATTGAGATTTGTAACTACAATTGCTAATTTAGTAAATAACGTCTTAGAGAAGCCTTACTTTTAAAGCTGTGAGATAAATGGTCTAGTTATGGAAAGGTCGTTCACAGTTGTCAAAAAGCGGTACCGTTATATATATTTCCTTGTAGTATCCAAAGGTAATGTGTGGTGCAGTGGTCGGAGGCGCCCTGCAACACACATGAGATCGATCCCCACGCTCCTTGCCCACCAAGCTCTCCATTCCTCCGTAGTTGGCAAATTGATACTATACTTGCCTGGGAGGATAGCACCACCTACTCGATACCAACGCGAGTCATTGTAAAAGCCAGATATGCACTCAGTCACCTCCAAACGATGCTTAGTGAAGTCGAGTGCATGGCACGTCCCTCAGAGATTGATCAGCGCCGAAAGCTTTATCCTCTAGCTTTTTCTTAATATTCGAAGGTAAGGTAAGATAGTAGAAGTATTGGTTGGAATTGGGTGCAGTGACTTAATGGTTATGGTTACGTTCTTCCAAACAGAAATGATACTGTTGCGCATAAAATGTTGGCACTACTCAGCCAAAGCTCTTGGCGAGAAATATCCTTCATACTTCTGTGCTAAGTGTGTATGAAAGTTTGTGTTGTATTTTTACATATACTATTTGGCTTTTGGTTTTTGCTGTTCCCTACTTTTCTTGACCTTTCTGTTTCAGCGTACCTTTCGTTTTATCTGTTTTCGGGTCATATTTAGTCATTTTTGATGTCGAACAATCAAAAATCGTTCTCCTAAGTGATTTAGAAGAGGGCAAGTTCATCACTTTTAGTCCTATTCTAAGTTTGTATCAAATTTCGTTTAAGATGTTATTACAAGGATTTCAGATATTTCTTGTTGGTGTGTTTGTGGTCCCGATGTTTTTGTGCTGTTACGTGGTGCATCGATCCCTCGCAAGTACACCTTGTGTTGCCGTACAACGGTTCTAAAGAGATTACTTGCAAAATCTCTGTTTACTCAGGTTCATTGACATACCATATTTACTACATTTATTTTAGTTAAATACTGCATTTAAGTCTGCGGATTTTATCCTTCACTTTAAAACGTGTTTTTGGCCAAATGACCTTGTCAGTATTGCGGTAGATTCTCTTCCTCAAGTATCGAAGGAGGTAAGTGTTTCGTCACTTCTTCAAGTTGTTTGTTTGTAGCGTTTGGGATACATTTTTGCCTGGGTAGATAAATTGTGCGAATATGGGTAAGATCTATAATTTCCGTTTACAGGTAAATATCACTATCGCTGGGGTCTTGTCATTGTCCAGGGACGTAGAGATGTTTTTGTAGATTTTCTCTGTATTGCCCATTTTTACAATGTTATATGCGTCATGTCATTTTTATTCGGTTTTCAGATTTTTACAAAATTTTTCCCAATCAACTTTTCTTTTATATTGAGGACGTTCTTATCTAATTTTTTCGCTTACCCTTTATACAGGTAAGTAGAGTCTTCATAGTATCCAAAACCTTCCATACGTGAGCGGTCAACCGTATTTCCTTGTTACATCAATGTTGTATACATTTCATCACCACTTCTAATTTTAATCCCGACAATATGGATATGTTTCTCCCCAACGATTTACCACCTCATCGTGGCTTGGAGGTGTTCCTGGGTGTCTGGCTGCGATGTACAGCGGAGGGATTCGCCCCTCCGGCAGGGTCTCCCAAGCTGAGGAGTCCGGCATTTCCATCAGGAAGCCTGGCTAAGAGTAGGCCAATACAAGGATCCACCACCGTCATGGAATCAAGCTAGTCGCATGGTGGCAAATCTCTTGATTCACAAGGGCGGCGGCTGCCTGTAGTCCTGACCTGGGGCAGACTTTGGCTAGGTTGACTTCGGGACTCCGGGGAATCACAATGGCTAAACCAGCAAAACTCCTAAAAAATGGAAATTATGCTGGAGCCTGCAGAACTAGTGACGATAGGTCATCCAAATATCCAGTATAGATATGTTATGGCAGAGTAGTTAATTTAGACGTTTTTATTCTCGTGATTTGTTCTTGTCTTTCTTCTTTTTTCAAATTCGTCCTAGTCTCCGTGGTTCCAGCAATCGTCGTTGAGAACTCTAGCATTCCTTTTCTTCCACTTAATGTTTTGTAACTGCCACGACCGACTTTCTATTAACCTCGGCATTGATCAAGTGATTTTCTTCGTATTTTTGTTGAGCAAACGCGAGGTGTTACTATTCCTTGTTCACGATTAAGCTGACGTTTCGGCGGATTTCGCCTTCTTCAGAGCCTGGAAAGGTCAAGTTGATAGCAATTCACTCGGCCAGACGCCTCCATAACCAAACAAAGAAACTCCAAACCAAGATTTCAATCACTTTGAACACAGCTCCGCACACTCACCGTTTTCTATGAGGTTTCCACTAAGTATGTCACGTAGAGACCAACCGCACAGAAATCACGTGGAAGTATAATGTGCCCCTCACATCAGAAAAGCAGTTTTATTTACTGCCCTATATCACGCGTGATAATGAGGCATTCTTCCCTGCGGTTCATTTTCGGATTTCTGGAATTAATCCAGAGTGCCTCGAGAGTTTTTCGCGCTTGTGTTCCTGATTCGCGTGCGAGGATCGTGACACATACTTCGAAGTCGTCCAATGTTTGTTGTTTTATGTTTGTTTGTTTTTTGTTTTTTTAATGTTTTGTTGTTTTCACATTCGCTTCGACACATCGGTTTCAACGTAGTGCGAAAGGAATGACCCCGCTTTCTTGAAATTGGGAGTATTAGAATCTGCAGTTCTTTCCCTACAAAGTACTTGTTTTCTTATTCCATCACGATGAAATCGTTATTTTATGGGGCTCACGAAACGTAGTTTTCGCTGAGATTGATTTCAACTTTCTTCGCGGTCGCTTCTTTTCTTGTTCGCCGCACAGAGGTCTTTATTACACTTTTGTGTTCAATCAATAGCTTATCCAGCACAGATGTTCTGCTAGTCATGGGCTGAAAAAGGTATCTGCTTCTCTAATTAATCGAAGGAGAACTGTTTTAAACTGTACGAGGTGTTTGCTTAGTCTCGACTGTTAGCAGTGGAGAGATCGCCTAACCCGATATCTCTCTTGTATCTGTACACTGAGATATCTAGGGACATCTCTTTACTGCAACAGTTTGTGAATGATTCAAGAGAGTTGTATAAGTGTAATTGTATAGTTGTCTACTTAATGTCACCAGTATTGTTGTTTTTAGAAAGGCTACGTGTTCATCAGTGCGTTTCTACATAGTCTGTTCTACTCCAAACTCATAAGGTTTATTCTCATAACAGTCCACTGTTGTTATAATGGCTGTGATCAAGCAGATTTATTTTGGTGTCTGCATATCTCACAGCCTACTTTTTTTTACACAGTTTGCAGTCATTATGGATCGAATCGAAATTTTTACAATTTACGTGCTTTACGTACTATTTTGCAGCAATTTCTTTAAACAACCCGACGTTAGACATTAGGGCTATCCTAAAACGTGCGATCGACTGGTTTCCTCGTATCCACACTCCGCCATGGTCGTTCAATTTTTGCGTATAGCTTTGGCCGTTGCTTGAGGTTTTTTTTCTTCTGAATGTCGTTGGATGTGGATCGAATCGATTTAAGTGGAATCTTGGTTTAGCCGTGCTAGTGCGTTATCAGGTCTTCATCATTGCAAGCGTTATCTTTCTTTTATTGGAGGGGCTAGCCAATCTCGGATGACTCTAGTACCATTCTCGGAGTACGAAGGTTAGAAAGGTTTATGAATTCAGAACAAGGTTGCAGCATTGCCTTGCTCGCACTGAACGGCATCGCTACCACTGCGCTGCCCGTCTCCTACTCTAATAATAATGGTGCAACATATTCGTTTATGTAATAAAACGGCTCCCGCAATGTTTCCATTTTATTATTAGAAGACAATGGCTTATTCATTCTGTCCTCAGTGTGATAGTGTGATTGCATCGGATCCATACCAAAGCGCTACATCACCAACTACTTCTCTAGATGCATATTTTCTATAATTTGGGAAAAAAAATGGAATTTATTGCTTACAAACCAAGACTGATGTGTGAGAACTTTCCTTAGTTGTATGATGTTGCCTATGATGCCATTAGTCGTCGAAGAATTCGAGTAGGCTCTAGTGGAATCTCCATTGACTCCCTTTGCACTCAATGAGATGTCAATGAGCTCTTTTACTGTAGAGAAGAGAAACATGTTTTTCTATGAAGCCCCTTATTTTTATGGTTCTTAGCGAGGAGGTACCATTTGGGTTTTTTTGTCTGGATCTTATATAGATATGAGCCATTTTGCTGGATGCACTTCCGAACTTCGTTTTAAATTCACACAATTAGAGGATTTTGATTGAGTCGACGTACAAATCAGTTCTGCGTATACCGCGTGTATGAGAATGTTACTGCGCCTATACGAAAGGTAGGGGGTAATCTGACACAAAAAAGAGACATAGAGCTCATTCCCAAGATCTATGAATCACAGAGGAAATGTGTGTTCATTGATCCGCTTTCAACCTCCTATACGTCATTTGGGACGCTAACGTAATCGCGAAACCGACTATCTCGAAATTTCTCTTATTAAGAAAATCCGTGCATTAGAAGTAAAAGTTGAAGGTGAAATCTAAGAGAAATAGAAGAACAAGTGTGAATAGCAGTCGTTTGGTGATTGTGCGGTCAAACTTTGGCTATAACGAAGGTATGAATCAGGTGAAAAGTAACTTTTTATAAGAATGTACCAAGATTCGCATGGGATCGTCAAGTTGTTCCAGGCTTCTTGACGCAACTTGCGTTGTGCAGAGTTTCTAGTGGATTGAATTTCTTAGGCAGAGGTGGAGCGACTTCGACTTGAGCTCTCTAAACTACTACAGAGGCAGAATAATTTATTACTTGATGTTACTAATGAGTTCGAAGGAGCACAAAGCATTACAGGTGTGTTTCCAGCAAGCATAGTTTTTTCCTACATGGATTCAAGTTTATTTTGTTCTTTGGCCTTGTCGTGATCACCTTTTTCCAGAAAATCCTTCTGTTAGTCGCCATGAAAATAGCGGATCAGATTGTGGTGGGGTAAAAACCACTGCAGGGACAACAAAGGTGCGGATGCGTAGCAGTAGTCATGAGTACAAGAGGTAGGTTTCTTGCCTTAGATGAGGAGGCTTTAGTGTTTTTTTCTGATTAAAGCTAAAAAGGGTAAAGCTCAGGGCGTTGATCTACCTCTGGAGGATGCGCCATGCATTCAATTTCACTAAGCATCGTTGGAGGTGATTTAATGCATATTTGGCCTTTAAAATGACTCGTGGTGGGTTATCGATGTATCAAGTTAGTGCTGCCATCTTCTCTAACATAGCTGGTACCAATTTTCCCACTGAGGAAAGGTGGAAGGCTTAGTGCGCCTGTGGCGCGGGATCGAACCCATGTTCATTGCAAGACACCTATAACCACTGCACTACAAGCGCCTCCTTATTTTTTTTAGTAGTTTTTGGAAAAATTTGTTTAGGCAGCATTTTCGCCTATATTTATTTGAACCACTTGTATTTCAAGAACTGTACAAAAGGCGGTGCCTAAGCGAGCTTCGTTTCCGCAGAGTATCGAAGAATTGCGTTGTGACCTGAGAAGAAATCCGCTGACTTTGGAAGCTGGAAAAGTCACAGGAACTGAATATAGCTTGGTTTGTCTTGTTGCTTTATCTCTTTTAGATGGATTCATTACTGAGTATCTCGCATAGATCTGTGTTTTCTGTGAAGTCGAGTCAGATGTCAGGAAGTTTTATTTTTCAATAAATCTATTTAATTTCATCGGAGGATATCTTTCACCAGCCAAAGTTGCATTGAATTACCTCACTAACTAACTGATTTGGAATTTCAGGATTCTCGCTGCCAGATTGATGAAAGCGATTCGCTGAAAACGTTACTGCAGTTGGAGAGTAATCAAGAGATCGAAGCTGTGCAATTCGTTCCTACGGTAGTTTCTATAGCTTATGTTGTTTTCCGTGCAACGTTTAGTTGCATTTTGGCCATCTGGAGACCTTATTTTTACTCACTTATGAAACTTCGGCATTGGTTTGCATTTCCCGTATAGAAGAGTTGGCACGTTAATTCGAATAGTTTCACGCCCTTCGTTTAACATACTTCAGATCACGGTTGGGAACGCTGCAAAATCTCTTGCTCAGCTTGCCATCAGTACTCCAACTAGCTTCTCGTGTTTTGAACCGACAGGGAATGGCAATGCGTCCACTCCAAAGGATAATAGCACGATGCCACGTCGTTTTGGTCCCAATATAGTCAAAACCGTTAGGCCATATAAAGTGAAGGTTAGTATTTCTGATTTTTTCACGCTCAGAAATTCGGCTACTGTTTTATGGTCATATTATTTCAGCCTGTTGTATCCGTTACACCTATATCATCGAAACATTTTGCGAAGTCGAGCCCTGTGGGTGTTAGCTCTTCAAGATTTGTTTTTCAGACGCTTAAATAGTACTTTAACTTACACAAATGCTTTGCTGAATTATATTTTCATATGTCTCTACTTATTAGTTGTGATTTTTCATTGATTACTAGTTTTATCCAAATACAGTCCCTCTTTTTCATATCCCAATCCGTTCTTGTATTGTTGCAGTACTTTTGAATGTCCTAAAAAAGGATACAGAAGGGCACCATCGCAGCAAGGAAATTATGAAAAACTAAATGGACAATTGGAAAAGTCGAGCTATCGTGCTTCAAAGTACCTGGTCTGCTAGTGCGCGCTGATAGCTGCTAAAGTCAAGACCTTGTTTTAACGCTCTATGAATAGTGAACGGACGGTACGGTTTCCGTTTATACGTCTCGATGAGGGCTAAACAAGGTTTCAAAGCTTGCCTTTATGATGTCTGTTTCTTCTGAAGAACACATATTTTGAAGAGCTCCAACCGCGCCCACGCTTGCAAGCAGCACGCTGTTTGGTTGATAATAACCGTCGAACCTCAGCTCGATTTCAAATTCTCACTTGTTATGGGTGATATATGGGAGTCACCATCTCTACTGCTTAAACTGCATAGACTGAGGGTATCATGGTATGTACGTATATCTTCTGGCACCTCGCTAACGAGGACCGTATGGATTGGTCGAAAATTAGGCCATTTGGTCACATTCTGGTTTCTTTAGTTGTCTGGAGCTAAAGAAGTATCTTCTAGTAATCTTGATTATTAATTACGGGGTTGAAACACGGTTGGTTTGAGGAATATTGATTTGCTATTCGCTATGTGCTACCTAACATAATGCCGACTGCTGCAGTATGGATTGTTAGTTGGAAATGAATTTGTTATCAGTGGTCAATCATTGTCAACAACCAATGTACCGTATAGAAGTGCTGCAGGGTGAGGTTGCTTCATTCGAACGGTGTTCCACTGAAGAAGATTCGATTCACTCAGACGAAGGCGCTATATCGAAAAGACGGCGAGCAACTATGAACCTTCGACTCGGATCATCGGCTCTGTGAGGGACAAAGACGTCGAAACGTTATCCGAATAAACGTTTTTGTCTACCTCATGTTAGCTTAATAATCCAAGAAGGTGTTGATTATTAATGCCGAGGTTTAATGACAGGTGATTTGAAGAATCTTGTAGCATTTTTAGAGGCTGAACCATATTGTCATGTTAAGTCAAGTTAAGGAAGAACTTATGTTCAATCAGACAGCAGGACCCTGTTAAATTATTTAAATATATAGTATTTACTTCGATACCTGGTCAAATCGTCTTTAAGAGTAGTCCCGCAGTCACTTTTATGGCGGTGCGCTGCTTCATTTGATTCATCAAAAAGATGACGACGTCAACAGCAAGACGAATGTTGAAGAGGAATTTTCCATTAATGCGTATGCTCTTCTTGTTCCAGTTGAACGACTTTATTATCTGCTGCATCGCGGTAATAAGTAACTTTGGTTGGCTGGTGTCGCCTCGTTGAACTTCCTTTCCTACAAGCATGGTAAAGGATTGATGAAAAGCTGTGTTTTTGTGGTGCAGTTCCAATAGCAGTCGGCTAAAGTTCTTACGTTAGATACGACTAGTTTTGATCGATGAGCACTGGGAGGATTACACACATATTGTGCGGATCAGCACATTTCTTGCTTTTGACCCGTTCGGTTGTATGAATACTCCCATGGATTCTTGCGTTCAAATTCGGGCATTGCTTTTGGATTTTTCGGCTCCTGGATGTTGCTGAATGCTGTTGGAGTCGATTCTGTCTCGAATCCTAGGATAGCCGTGCTAAAGCGTTCCCACCAGCATTCAACAACATTCGTGAAGGAAACCAGAGACCCGTAGGCAACACACCGAATCCACAAATCCGAAGTATTCCACAGTATCGTAAATGATGGATGCGAGGGAAAAAATCGAATGCAAGGGGTACTGACATGTATATGTAAATGTACATATGTGTATATATACACTTATATATGCACAATATATATGCATATGTATTTGCAGGTATACCTTTTTCAGATTAGCTTGCTCTCTGAAGTTGCTGTGAGGAAAGATATCTCTGAAGAAAGCAAAAATCAAATAAATGCAAACAATCTTTCGAGCATTTCGTCTGTACCAGTAGAGAAAGGTTTTATCCTTATTACCCTTGTATTTCTGTATTGTTGAAACCATTTTTTTCTCTAGAGTCTATGGTTCCACTTCACGACAACGAAAATAATGTAGAAGCACATTGGGTAATAGATCGTCTTGTAAATTTACAAAGCGAAATAGGTTAGACACTTCCATGTCCCATTTTTTCTACTTTTCTAGACGCATTAAGTTATTCAGTGCCCACTTCTGAATTTGTTCGCAAAAGGTCGGAGCCACCTTCGTCCTTGATTGATGCAGACTACTGCGATCAGTGCAAAATTCATAGGTGAACTTTTATTTTATTTCGAATCTCAAGGCCGACTTTCTTTTAAGTTTGGCATTGATCAGTAATTCGCTATTTTCTTTGTGAGCAAACACGAGGTTGTTGCTACAGTATTTCTTCATTCATGATAGCTGACGTTCCGCCTTTTTTAGAGCCTGAAAAGGTCAAATTGACAGGCAGTCTTCTCAGTCAAAAATTTTCATAACCTCATCAAAAACTTGATACATAAGTTTGCATTAGAACAATAAGCAGCATTTTGTAAACACTCACTGCTTCGTTCTTTATGATCCTTCCAGTTATTTGGTGGAGACCGGCCGCACTGGCTTAAGTGTGCTTGGCTCAGATGTATGACCGTCAATGCACAACACGAAATCGCATAATATGTCCTAAGGGTAGAGGCGGTTTTTGCATGAGTTTGGGTAGGATTCATCTGGTCTCTTGTAAAGCACGCGGCGGCGAATGGATTGGAACAACCTCATGTTAGCTCATCAAGAAAGCATTGAATAACTTATTTTGTTGTTATAACATCATCTTGACAACTTTTTTTCTACTGTTTTATAGGACTTTAGGATTTGGTAAAGTTCGATAGTCCACTGAAATTTTTTGGGATATTGTAAAGAAATACTTAAAGTTTTTTAAAATGATGTGATGCAGGAAAGTTGTCAGGATGACAAGTCCAGCAGTTTCTTAAATGGCGTTTGATTTGATTCAGCATCTCTTATCCAGTTAGAAGGTTGGTTCAAATGCCTATTTATCAGTACTTCTTCGTTTTCCAGGTCCTGGTTGGTTGCTGCATTGTTATCGAGAGTATGTAGGAGAGTTAAAGTGATTAGCAATTTAACCAAACCTGGTTAGTTTTTGCTTTTCTCAGGTCTGCTGGTTATTGGTTAATTTTGAAAGCCAGTTTTAGGCGCCGTACCTTTAATGCGAAGTGACTGGAAGGAAGTTCTTGAATTTAGATTCAGTTCACATAAGAACCAAAGTTCACCATGTGCTCGTTGTGAAACTGCTCTCTGCAGATGCCTTGCCATATTCAGTATAGTGACATTTTTTTTGATACAGAGTTTTATCGAAAGGTTTGAGACTTCTTTAAGGACAAGGACACGATTCACTTGATCTCACTCCCGAGAATGTCCACCCTAATCGTAAAAAAACTCTTGAACGTTGCTTGTCAGTAGACGAAGATAGGTTATTGCATATTCTGTTTGGCAGTTGCTTCATGTTATCGGACGAAGATGTCTGTAGAAACTGCTCATCTTCCCCTGACGGTACTGATATTGTCCTTTCCGTCCTACCGTTTACTTGGGTTTTGTCTCATTGTCAGATCAACTAAAAAATGTAGTTGGTCGGACAACTCAGTAAAACTACTCAACGGTATTTCTCAGGTGCTCACTCCACAGCCGTGAGTGAAAACGACGCCAAATATCCTAATAAAATTCGGACATTTGATCATGAAAGCTCTTGTGATAAATATCAAGAAATGCTTTCTGTGATGGATTGGTTACTGGATTTGGATGCCAGAGTGGTACGAACTTTCTACTTGTTTTAGTAACTTATTTTTCCAGTTTTTTTTATCTTCTTTTTTGCTATTCCAGATTATGGCCATTGCTTCCTTGGTCATAGGATATCAGGAATTGATATCGCTTGTTAAAGAGAGTCCGTCATTGTTGAGCTCACTTCTTCCTGAGCACTGGTCTGCACTCACATTTCTATGTGTTCGTGACCAAGCAATGAAGAAAAACGAAGTTTCAGCTAAGGTTTTCTTGTTTCTGTCTTTTCTTCAAGATGTCTCTGGCATAACTCTTTTTTTTGTTTATTTCCTGTTTACTTCAGGTGATCTCTGACATTCTGCATAGTTTTTCTTTGGATAGATTTGTTAACGTCGATTATTCGAACACCGTTGTGCTTGGGAAGCTAGGTGGTATTAAGAAACAAATGCCGATGTACAGCTGGATTATTGACTGCAATAAGTGCTGCTTTACTCCTATAAATAAGATTATTCAAACAAAGCGACGAAGTGAAATGTAGTTAAGTGAACAGTGCGTTGAAATTTTTGTGTTCAATTGCAGCTGCTGCCCTATCTGTACTTTGAGCCTGAAGTCCGATGCTGGCAAAGACCTTGGTATCACGTCATTTATATGTGGTACGTTGTTTCGTTCGTGTATGAGTATTGAGTTATTGAGAAGGCTTTCCAAACAATGGCAATAGAACTTCAATGATGCTAAGATATTGGCCGAACTACGGACCACAGGTGTCTGCGGTGGGAATGAACGCGCTATTGTCCTTTCCGGGGAGTAACGTGTTCACCACCATACCATGCGGGTTCGTTGTTTCGCCTGTGTCTCAGCTAGTTCTATCGATTACTTCCCACCGCAGACACCTGCGGTCCGGAGTTCTGCCAATATCTCAACATTATTGAAATTATATTTCGCAAAATACCCTGCCATTAGAAAGAGTGGGCAGTAAATAAAACGGTTAAGAATGGCAATAGAGACAACAGAATGATCAGTAAGCCGTACTAGTTTTGGCGTTACAATACTTTGCTACATTAATTTGGATACTTGGACGGCCCGTCCTCATTGGTTGTGCGGATCCCAGCATATTCTCCATTTTTTCGGAGTTTTGCTGGTTTATGCAATTTTCTATCGGCTGGCTACAGCCACTTACCGTTGTCAATTTCCCTGAATTGTCGTTCTCAGTAAGTAGGTCGTGTGCCTAGCAGATGAACAGGAAGAAATCCTAGCAGGAAGTGTTGCAGATGTTTTCGATAGAACTTCCATAGATTATTGTTTTTTGCTAACTTCCTTCCCGTTCTGATGACTTGTGGACGTTTTCTTTTAGGACACGCATACCACACGATCTGCCTGAGCGTACGCTTTGCTAAATGTTTGGTGTGTCGCGGACGAGTCAAAGATAGAAATTCTAGTCGCATTTCACGAGTTTCGAAAGTCGAATAATATCTGATAACTGTGTTCATGCTTTGAATCTACTTCCTGTCTTAGAGGGTTTGCTCGTTTTCAATTTCATATGTAAATACAGTTTTGTATTTTCCATTTATACATTTTCCCAATGCATTTCAATTCCTTTTTGTGAACTAGGGTTCCTAAAATGTTTACAACTTATTTAGGTTTTTTCTTCTATGTTCTCAATATTTACTCCAATGCTTAATGCGGATTGCTGAAGGTGTTTGGAACATAAAAAAAAAGTGTGACGTTTGAAGTACAGTAGTTATCGTCATATTAAACTCACGCAGTTGAATGCTGCAGGATTTTTACAAAGAACTGTCATTGATTATCGTTCCATAAGTTCTAAAATATAGATGATAAAATGGCAGGTTAAGAAAAGGATGAAGCTCGGCGTTGATCTATCCCTAAGTGGGACGCCATGTATTCGACTTCACTAAGCGTCGTTGGAGGTGATTGGACGTATATCTGGCCTTTACAATGATTCGAGGTGGTCTACCAATATATCAAGCCAGTGCTGCTATCCTTCCAGACAAGTCTGTTACCAATTTGCCGACCCCGAAGGGATAGAGGCCTTGGTGGGCCACGGGCGCTGGGATCGACCCTAAGTGTATTGCAGGACGCCTCCGACCACCACACCACACTGGTCCGTACAGACTTCTAGAATAATGAGATTTCCTGGCTAAAATTGTTGTTAGTACCCACTGGCTGAGGTATAATACCTAGGGATTGCTAGGGCTCGCTAAATTTATGTACTCTCGTTCTCGTATTTTTGGAAAATATAAAATTCGATATCAATGAGCCAGCAATTGCGAGTGAATTCATGGACTGTACATCAAATTTTTGACTCTCGTTAGCACGTTCCCTTATAAGGGCGCTTTAAGAGTTTTCAGTTTTAGATAAATTATCTGATGTGTTGAGACCATGGAATCTTTGTTTGGCATGGATGCTTACGTAGAGACTTCAGTGACTCGTTTTCCCATTTTATGTGGATCGTAGAACTTCTTTCAATCGTTTCTTTGTTTTGCAATTGAATGCAGAGGAAGGTGGCCGAAATTTCTCTTCTATTTTCATTTTCTGTTAGATACACTTTATGGTCTTACGCTTCTACGTGCATATTGTACAGTGTTTGCCAATCAGAAAATCGAAAAAACCTAGAACTCTGGGAGCTGCAAGATATTGTGCGCTTCCTTAGCAGAACGTTTAAGAATATAGAGAATATTCTCCTTAGAACCAGAGGTATTCTCCCTCCAGAGGTAAGTCTGCATTTATTGTTTTGTCGTTGCTTTGTGCTGTTCAAGCAACCCTTTTACAGGAACGATCCTTTCCTATCGTTACGGAATCTCCTTGCATACGCTATCGAAGCTCCTAGCATAGCGTTCTATTGTGCATCCTCCCATTTGTTGTAATATGTGTTGAATCAGCTTTATTATAGCTTTATTTATAGTAACTGAGGAACACTTCTCAGGAACATATACCCACTTAATTCTTACTGTAAAAATTGGCGACTTATTTGTATGCTGTTGCTGTTAGGAGCGTTATGTTGTTTTAGCCTTTTTTATACAAAGGTTTAATTATCCAAGTGAAAGGTGTAACCTCGGGATTTATTGCATGCTTCCGCGACTAACAACAGGCTTGAACAAACAACGATAAGCAGTAATAGAGAGCATGTGTCTCATTAACCATTCGATTCGTACAAGTTCTCTGGTGCTACTCGCAGAACTCACTACGCGACTACAGGCCTTCAAATCTACGAGAGAGCAACTCTTTCCTGAATGTGTGAAGGTAGGAAAAGTAGCACTACTGAGGAGTGTACTGCATAATCACATACGTGAACTTACTAATATGTCGTTCTACACAGTGAAGCTTTTGCTTTAAGCCTACCACTTTCTGAATTTGAAAGTCTTATTCTTTGTCGAGATGAGCTCCTATTTGATCGTATTACCAATTCCCGGCATACAGCAATGGTCCAAGTGAAATACTTATAGAATTCTTCTCAAAGAAATAGAGCCTCGTCAGCTGAGGTTAGAAATCAGATGATAGTAAATTCGCTACCGTCATCTATGACACAATCCCACTACATAACCTCTACAAAATATGTCGCTTTTCTTACAATAACTCGAACAACCAGTGCTACAAAGTGAGGATCATGACGATGTATGTTGTACCTCCTCTGAACTTTCATTACATTTTTGGAAATCTCACATCTGCGTGATGCGGTACATCACATACTGATGCAGTCCCCGTTGCCTGCCGATCAAATCCGACCTCCGTAACCAGAAAGCTACTACAATCAACGTCACCGTGGCTCACATCAGATTATTACCAAAACCAACTAATACGCAATGTTTTGTTGAAATTCGAATTATTCATTTGCGCTAACATACAACCATTTTGTTCAAACTGCACAAAACATGAGATTTGCCATCTGAACGTTTGCCTTCCTTGGGTCCTCATACATTATTTACAACATGTTTCGAAAATTAGCAAATCCTTGAGGAAGGGTACTTTATAATCACAGTACTAAACACGTTTATCCAAAGAAAAAAGAGCATCAATATTAGCAGCTTTAGAAAATCCTACACCATACACCCGACAATGGAAAATATTGAGACCTTTCGACTATTGTTTTCTCTGCAGCCACAGATCACGCCGAATTCGAAGCTCGCGGTCCCATTCCACAAATGGTGCGATTGTAAACGCTGTCTTTGTCGACTCGAAAAACTGCTCCAAATCCAGTCCTAAGTGAAATAACATTACGAAAAATTATGATAGATATATTTGACTGAATCTGAAAAACCACACCTTAATTTTAAAACAAAAGAGATCCCACTAAGCTCACCATACTTTCGCTCATATTCAAACGCTTGCGCCACCATGTCAAATTTGTCCAGGTGCTTAACAACCTTTGCCTCTAAAGTTTCCTGAGCCTCATATTCTTTCCACTGCTCAATCCACTGTTCACCAACAGCAGCCATTGGCACATACGCTGCAATTTTGTGAATTGCCTGTAAGCAGAAACATTTCTCAGAACTACGCTAGTACAGGAATATACTACATTACTTAAACTTAACACTGTTGTACAATAGTACATGCCTTATTTTCAAGGTCGTGTTTCTCCTCGGTACTAATGGAACAGTAAGGAGTTATGTCGCCTACGATGGCTTCGGCTAAATCATGCACCAAACTCATAGTTACCGTGCGACCCACATCAAGTCCTAGAATTCACAGTATAGTTTAAGAAACAGTTAAGAAAACAACAACAGTTATTACCACGTTCAAAACAATGGTCCAAACTACAAAGGTAGATCATCATAATGATGTTTCCGTCCATATTGAATATGGGGCTGAATGTAGCCTTGACATCCACATGTGGATGAGAGACATTAACGAGTTGATGGACAAGTCCATATTCTTTAATACAGTTTCCGATCTTTTGAGAAGAACTGCTACTAACTGACCGATCCACGAACGATAGGAGAGTTTGAGCTGCAGTAGTGCTCAAGCTTACAAAAGTTTTTATAATGGAGCTTCGTTGAAGCTAACCCTACGGAGGAAACTAGGATACACATTATACAATGGTGCCAAAAACGACTTTAATCAAACGACCTTCAATCTGTCCTTCCAAAGACATTGCTAATACGGCCATCCGATACATGTGACAAGCGACAGTTTCTGGTTCTGGGACCTAAGTACTACGAAATGTTAGAAACTTAAAGCGATTGACAAGTAAGAAGACCCAATAAAACCGAAGTTGTGCGAAGAAAACAACCTCATGTCAAAGTACATATCCCACTTTGTGAAGTGTGTCTCCTTTCCCGTTACATTCAAAGATGTAGAGGAACTGTACCAGTGGAAACTTCGTTTTTTAGGAACATACAAAGGGTTTTACCAGAATCTTTAAAAATGCTTTAAATACACTACAAAATTACAGATAATGAATAAACCAATCCTAAATGAAATGCTAGTCTTCTACTCCGATATAGAGGCTGTATTATAAAACTGCAGATATTGTACAGGTCAAAAGAACTCTCTCATAAAAGCATCCAAATGGCTTATTTCCTAAATAGACACACATTACGATTTTTAAATTTGCACGACCGGTCGGACAGCACAATTGCAGTGGTGCCGATCATCACAACCACAATTTTGGTTCGATCCTGTCCCTGGTTCAATACGCCTCTCACCCCTTCGGGGCCGGGTGGTTGATACCAAGCTTTTTCGGCAAAAAAATCACTCTCTCCAATCCATTTCGGAACGCTCAAGCCCGGCTACCTCAAAACTCCAGCGAGAATCGACTCGACCAGCGTTCCACGATATTTAAGATGAAACGAAAATTGTCAAGCAGTAGTTAAGGCTACAAATAAAGAGTTGCAAAACCTTCGCGGACGACGGATGCGAGGAAACTAAATCGAAGTGCTGGGATCCGCACAGTATACGTGAATACAGGTCGTATAGAAAATTTTTTAAAAATTTACATAACTCATCATCACATGCACTGCACGGATCCCAGCAGTTCTTGCATTCGATTCGTTTCCCTTGCATTCATCGTCTTCAAAAGTCTTCCAATATTTCGCGTGTTGTTTCGATTGCTGCTTGATGATTTCCTCTTCTACATGAATGTCGCAGAATGGAGGTCGAGTCGGTTCTCCTTGCAATTTTTGAAGTAGCCGAGCTAAGGCATTCTCACGTGGACTGGAACAGAGCGCTAATGGGGTCGAACCAGCACTTTGCTTCCTGATGGACAGATTCATTGACCACTGCGCGCTACCACTAATCACTTATATATATATATATATATAAACATATATGTATATGTATAGAGGGTATCGAAGCAAAGAAAACTTTAACTAAGAGAGTGTACAACCGACGTTTCATTTCATTCCGCAGTATTTCGCTGTAATTTCAATCATTTCGTATTACGAACCCATGCAGGATAAAAAGAAGGAAGTGTAATTTGCTGAGAAATGAGATCGTAAAGATACTGAAAACTGAATCAGAAGACCAATCTTAAGAGCATTCTCCAAGTAATTTCTTCCTCTGTCCCTCTCTATGTAGGGCTTGGTCCGTGTGCGATGAGGCCTATGCTCTCGCCGCATCAGGCTACAATGTAACAATTAACATGGCATCTACTCGTGGTGGTAAGCATACACCCAGAATTGGGATTTTTAATTGGAAATCGCAAAGAATATATACTATTGGGAAGCAATGGGTCTGATAAAGTACACCACCTCATGCAAACTATTTTAAGGTTTACTTTAAATCCTGCTTAATAAAGTGGACATATAACTTAATGGGGAGTTGAGAACCGCATGCTATTAAGTGAAAGCACCCTATAAGCCATTAATGTTAGGCGAAATAATGCTTCGAAGGCACTGACGAATAACTACCAGTGATAAAGTGCTAAGCTCTTTGTAAAAAATATAGCGACACAAATAGATCTTCTCAACGAACACAATGCATACAAAAAAAACGGTCGCTACACATCTGCGTAACACACGGGAACAATCTATTGTGAACTTACCCCCATTTTAATCCAACCAGTACGCTTGAGATGTTTGAGAGAATCCAGAGCTGACAGAAGTTCCATCACACCATTAACAGTCATCCTGGAAATAAAATAAAAAATGCAGGCCTAGATAAATAGAAGAAGAACGCCAGAGAAACTGAAACATGGCAACAAAACGCGGCCACGTCGAAGAGCAAACTGAGAAACCCGCGCCGGAATGGGAATCTCAGCAAAGAAAGATTTAAAGGACTTCGCTGCTTTATCCGTAGAGCAGACATCCTGCGAGCGATTCACTAGCTCTCTGATAGCCGCGGTCATTTCCGTGTGTTATTGGAACGCGATCGGAATGCGCATTGGAGCCAGGTTGTACGGTCCGTAATCCATGGCATGAAGCACTGAGATTACTGTTTTATTGTTCGGTTCACTCACACTTTTTCCATGTCTCCCAAACTTCTATAAACCAGCTCTTTTCTTCTATGTATGTTCCCATGTTTTTGTATACCTCCTGTATGTGATCTTACCCTTGCCTGTGATAAAAAAATTCCTGTGATGGTTGAGACGTATTTCTATGTCTCTTTCATGTTTTTTACATCTACCGACTCCATTACACCGTCCGAAACGGCATTTTGCAAGTGTGCTTGCTTGGATGCCCGTGTGGCGCAGTGGTCGGAGGCGCCTTGCAACACACACGTGGAATCGGTCTCTTTGGCCAACCAAGTCTTCTATCCCTCCGGGGTCGGTAAATTGGTAAACTTGTCTGGGAGGACAGCAGCAGTAGCTCGATACAACGGTAGGCCACCACGAGTTATTGTAAAGGCCAGATATGCATTCAATCACCTCCAAACGATTCTTCATGAAGTCGAATGCATAGCGCATCCTTCAGGCATTGATCAACGCGAAGAGCTTTTTCCTTTTTATCCTTTTACTTGCTTGGATACTTGGATGGCCCGTCCTCAAGGATTGTGCGGTTTACCATGAGTTTACCATGAGCTCAGATATGTTGCAAATCCCAGGACCGACTTTCTATTAACCTCTGCATTGATGATTAATCCACTGTTTTCTTGATGAGAAGACACAAGGTTGTTATTAAAGCGCTTATTAATACAAAATAGTAAATAGGAAAGAGAAAGAGGCGAAACGAAGGACCTGCATGGTGTAGTGGTAAACGCTCAACCACCGGAAAGGGAAATAGTGTGTTTGGTCCCCACCGCACACACAAGCGGTTCGGAGTTTTACAAATATTTAGGCATCACTATGGTTATATTTCACATAATAGTCTGTAATTAAAAGAGAGTAGGCAGTAAATGAAAAGTGGCAACTAAACAGTCGACGTTTCGGCGGTTTCGCCTTCTTCAGAGCCTGGATAGATCAAATTGACACATAATCTACCCACCTAAAGCTTTCATAACGTCAGTAGAAAAAAAACTTAGTGCATAAATTTTCACTCGTACGGTAAACAGCTTTCTTACACACCGTTTTACTCTTTATAAGTCTTCCAGTTATTTGCTAGAAACCAGCAACACAGTCGTGCATGGACGGGGAATGTGCCTAGGTCAGGTCATAGAATCAGCTTGAGGTACGGCGCAAGATCAGGCGTTGATCACTAGGTATTCCTCTTCGGCTCATTTTTAGATTTTTTGATTTAATATGAAATGCTTCGAGAGTTTTGTGCGCTGATGTCTTGGATTCGTGTGCGAGGACAGTGGCTTCTGTTTCAAAATGACTTTTATTTCAAAATCTATCCCGTTATGTCTTCCTGTCCTATGGTGTGCCTAGTGGAGTGTTCTCTTTGACTTTAAGTGTCTCCAACTAGGTCCTCTTTTACAAGGACGCGGAGAGCTCTACCTGCTTCGTCAACTTCGTCAACGTATTCGTCCCCATATGCTTTGCAAGGGAGTAGGTACACCGTATCCGAACTTATGGAATCATCGTCTCTATCCTCAGGGTAAATTATGCAATTGTGCGTTTCGTCTAGACGATCATACAAACTGCTGCGAACCAGCCGGCGTAATTGAGCATTTGGTGTTATTCCAACTACTGCTATTGATTTCTCTCGACTGGCACTTTTTAATCAACATATCATGTCTTTATTTCTGTCCTTATTTCATTGGAAGTGAAGGACAGTGTTAACGGACCTTATTCTCACTAGAATTACCGTTTAGTGGTGTGGCCTTTCCTCTACGCCTATCCCAACGAACTACAGTTTCCTAGCCTTTCGAGAATGCTACTTCCTGTGCATACATTGGCGGTTATTGAGAAATGTTCTCCACAAGCGCTTTCTTTGGACGTGAGTGGTGAAAGATGTGGTGAAGTTGTATATTTTTATTACCTGGCTTTCGGTATCATTTTATAATGTAGTCGTTTTCGGACAGTTAATTTAAACGTTCAGAAAATGCAAGCATTTTCCTTTCGGTTTCTCTCGTCTGAATTCTGTGTTCTGTGACTGTCCGTTCAATAGATCAAAGCATTTTGTCAATCTCCTCTTTTGTGGAGCAAATGACAAAACAATCATCTATATATTTGTTTTATATATATATGTATATATACATATATATGCCGGCGCGTGTGGCTCAGTGGTTGGAGGCGCCACTGCGACACACACGTGAAATCGACCCTCGCGCCATTAGCTCACCAAACCTTCCATCCATCCGGAGTCGGCAAATTGGTACCAGACTTATCTGGGAGGATAGCAGCACAGATTCGATACACTGGTAGGCCACAAAGAGTCATTGTAAAGGACAGATATGCATTCAGTCACCTCCAACGATACTTAATGAAATCGAATGCATGGCGGATCCCTCGGGGATTGATCAACGCCGAGAGCTTTTTATATGTATATGTATGTATATACGTATATGTATATGTTATATATGTGTTAAGTCTTATCTGTCAAGATTATGACATTTCGCTGAGTGGATTGCGTGTCATTTTGACCCTTCCAGGCTCTGAAGAAAGAAAAACCACCGAAACGTCAGCTATTGTGCGTTAATAGGTGTTGCATTAACATCCTCTTGTTTGATCAAGAAGAAAAACAGTGAATTATTGACAAAAAAATTCGTATGTATACCTCTAGTATAGTGGCCGGAGACCGAAAACACGAGCTTCAAGTTTAGACATAAACACAATGGCAAGACTTAGTGGTAGTCGCTGTCCTATTGCCAATCCTCTCATTTGTGCGATACACTTCCAGGGCCATCTGAGAATTGAGTAGTTCAGACACTTCTTTAAGAGAGCCATGATGTGTTGATTCGAGAATTCAAACATATTTCTTGATCCTTCGTATTGTACAAGATGTTCGAGGATGGCTTGCTTAGCAGAGTCACTCGACACGCTTGTATAAGGCGTTTCTTATCGAAGGACTCCATCGCGCACGCACTGCTAGGAGGTGCGTTACGTAGGCCATTCAGGAACATACGGGTGTTAGCAAGATACACTGGGATATGTATCAGCAACTGGATGAGTATTAGATTTATAAACTTTACGTTATTCTATCCGTGGCCTCTTCTACACAGATGGTGGTGGATCTAACCTTCAACGTTGGTGGCTCTGTGGCCACAAGATCATTAGTGGTTACTAACTTATGTAATTCAATAAATAACCAAAACACTAAATATGTTCATAATTCAATTTTGTTGAAATTTATGTGCTGATTTCTTCCTGATGAGGTTATGGAAATGTTCGATTGAGCAGATTTTGTGTCAGTTTGAACTATCCAGGCTCTGAAGAAAGTGAGACCGCCGAAATATCAGATATTGTGAATAAATAATGTAATAGCTGTTTTGTGCCTTCTATTTAAATGTGTCAGTCTGCAGATGAAAATAATCACTATTTAAATGCCGTATGCATTGAAATCAATGCAAGGTGCGTTACACTGTACTATGTCGTGAGGAATTCAACCCACGATTTACAGTTAGTGCTGTCTCATGCCTTTTGCGAATCAACACAGAATTCCTTTGATTCGTTCAGAAATTGCAGAAAACGAGCATGTTTCAATTAATCTTGCCGGACTAATCGCACCGTTAGAAATATTGGAGACATTTCTTAATATTGTAGACGTTGAAGGAACTAGACCTTTTTCAACTTCAACCCATATAAGAAACTGCACTTTATGTATTTAAGAAATAGGGTGACAGAACAGTTCCTGGCTTTCTTTTAGCAGTAAAGTGAGCCTTCGTGGTCCAACGTCGCCCGCTTAGCCTCTGATACTTACTTGTATACTTAGACGGGCCATCTTCACTGTTTGTGCGGACCCCAGCAGAGTTCCCATTTTTTCGGAATTTTCCTGGCTTAGCCATTGTGGTTCCCTGGAGCCGCGAGGCTAGCCTGGTCAAAGTCTGCCCCAGGTCGTCACCACCACAGGCAGCCGTCCTCGTCGATCAGAGGAATATTTGCCACCATTCGACTAGTTTGATACCACGACGATGGTGGATTCTGACATTGGTTTACTCTTAGCTGCGCTTCCTAGTGGGAACGCTGGGCTCCTTCTCAGTGTGGGAGACTCTGCCGTGGGGATGAATCCACCCGCTGCACATCGCAACCCGACAGCCAGGAACACCTCTCAGCCACGTTGAGGCAGTAAACCGTAGAGATGGCTTAGTTTCTGATATAAGATCTTATTCTAAAACACTGAAATGGACTCGACTTGCTTCCTTGAAAATCATTCTTTTGACTATTTGACTTTGAGGATTCTACTACGGTGGGAGGGCATGGTACAATCTAATTGGGCGTTGTTCTTCTTCAATTCATCGTTGCTTTGATACTCTATTGTCTTTTTCATATATTGTCCTATCCTGTCTTGTGTATAGTGAAGGGGATCAAGTAGCAAATCCAAGATCAGTCTGCTATATGTTTGCTAACTTTTAGGGACCGCGGGTTCGTAGTCTGAGGCTGGTATTGCACCTGTCATTTCTACACCACCGTACTATGAAGTGCCACGCTATGAGGCAACGAACTGATAACTTTCGCCTGTTAGAGATCTGTAGCTCTGAGCTACTCGACTACGACGCCTTTGCGTCACTGACTGAACTTAGCTTTGTCGTGGTGTCGAAAAAGACTTCCTTGATAAGATAACAAGATCATTCGTCGCAATGACCTGCATTACACTACCGCTTCTGTTTTTCTCGCTATTCTTTTTCTGCGTACGTTTATTTTGTCTAATTGTTTCCTTCGTTGGTTCTCACTGTGTCGAACAATCCAGTGCACTGTTCGTTTTAAAGGAACCACTCGAGTGCGGCGATGGCTACACATGCCCGGATTTCTCGACGTGCTGTCGCTTATCGGTGAGAGTCTGTTGAGCATTTTCGACTTCATCGCGCTAAATTAGTCATTCCGGCCAGGAAATTCACAATTTCTTGAAGTCTGTACCATTTCATGTCTCGAATATGCGGATGTCTTTATTAATGTATGACTTCTTTATGATTTTCTGGAATTCAAACAGACTACAGATTATAGTAGTTGTAACCTCCATCCTTAAAAAATCACGAGAATTGGCTTTCTCAAGTCTCCGTCTTTGGGTTATCTGATTAGAAGGCTCGGCTATTAAGCAAGCACGAGTTTGATAAAAAAAAAACTTATTGCGCCAATGTTCGACGTCTTCGTCTTCCTCAGAGCGGATTGATCTGAATCGATGGTCCACAGGTGGTCGTCCTCACGATGTTGTTGTTAATTGTCACTTCGAGTCGAATCTACATTGGATTAAATCCTTCTAACAACCTTGTGTTTGCTTAACTGTCGAATACGGTATTGATTATTTTTGCCGAGGTCTAACGAAAGTTGTTTTAAGAAAATAATGATTAGCACATATTTTGATATTCAAGGAAGTTTTCTTTAGAGGACCGTTTGTTCAGGACATGCAGAATTTGAAGTGAATGTGTTGCTCCCTTCAGTTATTTATTCACTGCCACTTATGCTCTATTGCAAAGCCTACTTGTTCACAACTTTCCATTCATCCGGATGAAAAATGCCCCAATGCCCCATATAGATTTTAACCGGTCTTCGTCGATTATCTCTGTCCTCGAAATCCTTCAAAACAACGTTCACTTACAATTTTAACTTATTATTTACCGCCTACTCTTTTTAATGGCAGGGTATATTTCGAAATATAACTTCAATGATGCTGAGATATTTGCAAAACTCCGGACCGCAGGTGTCTACGATAGCAAACGAACGCGCTATTACACTTTCCGGGAGCTAACGCGTTCACCACCACACCATGCGGGTCCTTCGTTTCGCCTTTCTCTCAGCTAGTTAACGTTGACTATATTTCCATGTGAGTCCTATCCTGTTTTTCGTACTAAAATATGCCAGCTATGTTCAGCAGAATAGGAAACGCAAATCGAAAGTGTAGAATCGGTATGAACTGAAGAACCAGAATTTTCGTGTTTCAGGACGGAAACTGGGGCTGCTGCCCGCTGCTGCAGGCGGTGTGCTGTGAGGACTACGTGCACTGTTGCCCCAGTGGCTCGCTCTGCGACACCGAGGGTATGCAATGTGTCCACCCAATCGTGAGTCGAATTCCCTGGTTTCCTCTCGCTTAGGTGTGAAAAGGTAAAGGGCTGGAGCGCTTAGCATTGATTTGTACCTTATCGATGCGTCATTCGTTTGACTCCATTAAGGATCGTAGAGGTGAGTGAATGCTCATCAGGCCTATGCAATGACTTGCATGGACTTGTCGATGTATGAAGTTAGTTTTTTTGGCCTACCAGATAAGACTAGTGCATATTCGCTAACATCGGATGGTTGGAGATCTGGATAGTCCAAGGTGTTTCGAACTAATGGCTACCTGTTCGTTGAAGGAAGTATAACTCTAACATCTGCGCTGCGCGCGCCATTGATAAGTTATGACACTAAATCACAATGTCGTATTCATATCGATCTCTTAAACACAGGAATCGCTTGCTTTTTATTTGTAGTCTAACAGTGAGTGGATTAAAACTGTCCCTCTATCACGAACCCTAACGAATTCTTGTAATTAAAAAAATCATGAAATCTTGGAAAGGACGCGAAACGTCCCAATTTTTTCATTCGGAAGTTTTTTCCTTTTCTTTAACCTTCTGCCTGTTTTTCATTATGGCTCTTAATTCCACAACGCCCTTCACTGTACTACTTGGTATTATTTCACTTTCAATGTGTTCGATTCTACAACTACGAAATTATTCATTGGTATTGAGATATTTGCGAAACTCCGGACTGCAGATGTCTGCGGTGGGGATCGTACACGCTAATACCCTTTTCGGGGCTAACGCGTTCACAACCACGCCATGCGGGTCCTTCGTCTCGCCCTCATCTCATCTGGTTTTCTATCTATCAGTACCATCAGTAATCACCCGCATTCATCCGGAATGCATTGGTAGTTTCGCAAAAAACGCTAGAGTAGTTAGGTTTCTCAAATCTGTGTTGTCATTACAATAAAACTCATAGGGAAGTGTCGAAGACCCCTAATGAATCCATTTTAAAATTAATAAAAAAAATCAAATATCTAAAGTGTGTACGTAATTGCGGAGATCATTAGAGCATCTCAACAGCAGGGATTAAGTGAACACGGGGTGTTTCGAGCTAAGTTTATCCAAAAACAGAAAAGCCAGGATAGAAAGAGTAGTTACACCACATCAGTTAAAGGCATAGGTTGCCTTCTTGACTCTTAAATATTGTAATACATTATTCGATATATGGCTTAGATTTCTTTTCTGTTCAAAATGGCTATTTGACGTCCACGGGAAATCACTTTCATTGCAAACAGAGTGGAACATCGCCACTACGAAGGAAGTCTGGAGCATTAAAAAGCGAGATCATCTGTCCAGACAAGAGAAGCAAATGCCCTTCAGGTTAGTACACTTAACATTCCAAGCTCGACAACTAGTTCTTTATGGATGGACGCCGCATGTAAATAATTGAAGCCTAATCTTTATCCACATTCGCTGTGAGTTGTTATTGCAAGTCACGCCTACTGATCTGCGTTCTATGTACGAGTGTAGTTCCACTCATGTCAGGGTTTAAGTGCTAACCAGTAAACTGTCGTTGGTGGCCGATTGTCTGGATTCAGGAAGCACTTGTTGCAAGCTGCTCAGTGATAAGTATGGCTGCTGTCCGGCGGAGAACGCGACGTGCTGCGCCGATCGCATGCACTGCTGTCCATACGGCTACAAATGCGACGATTCTGGACAGCGATGTATCCAGGTTAAGGTGAGAAACTCGATGAGAGCGGTCTGTTTGGGTTTGTGAATAAAACTGAGGAATAATGCTTCGTTAACAACGGAACAGTACTACAAAGGCAAAACCAACGTCCACGCGTTGTCATTCACGCTGCTGATTCTACGTGGAGGATATATTTTTTGCTATTTTTTGTTTTAACCAAATAATAACAAAAGGCAGTGGTAAAATTTATGAGAAAATTAGGCCTGTTGAGGCGATAACTTCTCCTTGAGAGTGAAATAGAACTGATGCGCAATGATAATCGTGGAATAATTCGGGCGTGCACCGGTAAACTTAGTTTGAAACCATAAGGTACCGAAGCTAGCTTCCGCTCGCTTATGTGACAACACATCATTTTGCTACTTTTGTTGCCATTTTTTGCCATTCTTAGCGACAAGGTGTCCACAGGTAGATCGCTGGGCTTTTCTTGGTATCGCCATGGGTTACTCCTATCTGAGCTCTCGAATGCAATAGGATTCTTCACTTTGAGTAGTAACTCTGGTGAACGAATTCGACGTCGAGAAATACGAACCACCTATTATGAGCTGTTAAATCATTTGCGCGCTGAAAGAGGGGATGACGTGATGATAATAGACATAATAAGCTTCTGTTCACCATTCTCTTCTACTTTTCTGGGTCCTGTTTCTACGGATCGTGTATGCGACTGAATCTTATTATTTTTGTGTGATTTTCTTTATATTGGCAAAAGATTCATAACAGGCCACTACGGGGTGCTCGTCACTGAGAGAATAACACTGCAATAGTCTGAAATTTTGAGAAAGTGTATAGTTTTACCTTTACTAAGCGGCACGAGATGTGTTTAGTATTCATTACTGTGGCTGGATCCATACACCTTTCCACAGCGCTGCGTTACGGACTCGCCCTTCGAACTCCACTATTTGTCTATGCACTGAGCAGATTAACACTTAAGCTTCAAGTGCATTTCGTTTACCATTAATGTTTTGCAGACCCTCAATGTGATCAGTTCGTTGCGAAAACACAAGGCTACCCCAATTCGAAGCAAGCTGGCTATTCGCATGGATCACGCCAACGAGGTAGCACTCGGCGGTGCGCGCTGTCCTTGGCTCTTCATCCATATTTAAACTATCACTCTATTTAAGGATAGCCTCGATGACCATGTGGATATTGTGAAATGTGGTTACGGAAGGAGCTGCTCAGCATTCAGTACTTGTTGTGAAGTTACACATGACGGACGAATCCACCATATGTGCTGTCCTATTCAAAATGTTAGTTTCATTTCTTTTATCAGCGACCCATGATAGCAACAGCGTTTAGGGGGAGAGAACCGTTTCTCAGTAGTATTAGTAGACAAGTCCTGTTGAATTCCCGTAGATATTTAATATGACGTTTGCCACTACAGGGAGTGTGCTGTGGGAGTACGTGCTGTCCATCCGGATATCACTGTCGTCTGGGAGGACGATGCGAGAAACACGCCACTCGACACCACTTCTTCGACTTTTGACCTGACTTCTGCTGATGACTGACTTCACGTAAACGCCACTTCAGTACCACCGCCACACATTCTCGTGATCATTTTATTGTCTGGATATTGTTTCAGATTTTCGGTGTTCAACTCTTGACGCCTTTGTTTTTAGATAGAATTTCTTTGTGTTCATATCATATGCCATATCAAGGCGGAATTTTCACCTCATATCTTTTGCCATTGCTTTTATCCTTTTTTTTCGTCAATTGATGATCGGAATAAAAATGAAAAAGGCACATTCATCACCTGTTGAACATAGGGTCGAATATGGAGTTGGGCCGTTCGTAAAGTCAATCAAACATTCGCGGCTTTGAAACTAGTTCCCTTTTCCCACTGCAATGATACTCAGAATTCGTTTACTTGCAGCCGAGATCTTGGTCAGAATGTTGAACGCCTCCCCAGTTTGTGGGGGTATGGTATGAGTCTTAGGAATATTTCCTTAAGATGATGAATGTAAGACGTTGATAGGGGTTCATAAAAGAGTAATGCAGAGGCTTACGCGCCGTTAGAATAGTGAATTAAAGATAAAACAATCACAGTGTTGCTGAGATATTTGCAATACGTGGACCCCAGGCCAGATTCAAAATCACTATTGCTGTTTCCGAGAACTCACATGTTACCCACTGCACCACTGAGGCTGTTGCTTTTCTTTTCTCTCAGCCTGTTTTTTGTCGCAATGGTGCCTTCAACAATCGCCCATCGACCGGAATGATCTGGGGACCACAAATCGCCATTAAACGTAGTTAAGTTGAGGCTGTAGACACAATCTCTGTTCTTCTAAACATTGGAACAAAGCATCCGATGTTGATCAATGTATTCGACACACCATGTATTCGACAAGCATCGTAGAGGTGGCTGAACGCACATTTTTTCTATTCAGCGACTTCTAGTAGTTTGTTGGATTATCAAGGAGAGGCTAGCAATAAGTTTTATTCACCTGACGTCTCCTCGTCTTCGTTTTTCCTAGAGCCGGATTGATTCGAGTCGATGACCCACAGGTGGTCCGACTCGGAGTGTGTTTGTTCATTGTAGCATTGGGCCTCCAATGAAGTGGAGCGCTGCTCGAATTAAGAATCTCACTTGATGGTGCCTTTTTTAACTTCGAGCGGTCTACCGCTGTATTCAGTCAGTATTTTTATCTTCTTAGACTGATCAGGTAGCAATTTCCACACCCCTGAGTGACAGAAGGCTTGGTTAACCACGGGTTCGACGATCGAACAAAGGATTATGTAAATTACAATGTCGTTGAGTAAATCAAGTGGATTCGAGACCGAGACGAACAAGCAACTGAAGAAGTCGTTTGAGTGCGATGCAGTGGAGGCAGTTACAGTGGAAGCATGCTTGATTGAATGGAAACGTGAACAACAACGAACTATTTCACCTTACCAGTATGACTAGAGTGATTACCAACATTTCAGTGAAAATTGATGTGAATCAGTTCCAGGTGTGCGTGGTGTGTTCCAGTATGACGAGGTGCTTTACACAGATATTAGATACACTGTGACTATGTGCACTGATTTCATTTTGAGCACTCGTTTTCAGTAAAAGGTAGGGATTTCGGTAACAAGCAGAGGACAACTCGAGCAGCACTAGTGCAGAACAAAAGCGGGACGGGGGAGAAAAAAGTTGGAACAAAATGCAAACTGAAGATAAAACAGAAGGCGAATGCACAACGAATGATTGTTTTTTCTAAAAATTTCTTGATAAGTAGATAAAGTTTCGTCTTAATATAGGAGGTGTGAGGCGGAGATAGAGAAGAAGAAAGAGAGAAAGTGGTCTCATAAATACTGAACCACTAACTCTTTTATCTTACTTACAACGAATTCACGAAGAAAAAAAGTTTGTATTGCTTTTCCGAGTGTATTTCCGTTTGGGCGTCAGCGGCGATCGTCTTAGTCTGGTACCTGGCGAGGTTTCAGCGGGCGTTGCGAGTGTTCCTCCCAGCTCATGCAGCTTCAGCCATTACTGCTACTCTAATATCCTTACGGTCTTCTTTTATCGCCTATCTGCAACAACTTGCAAGTTCCGACGAAAGTTAACAGTAGTCTACCACTATAATGCGGTATAATACCACTATAACCACTATACCACTATTGCTTATTGGCTCGAGTGTTCTTCGGGCAAATGTCAAACCTTCGATCTCTTGGCTTTAAAAGCGCTAACGTGAAGATGTTGAATGAGCCGATAGTATTCCTCGTCGATGTTATCGACATTAGCAATTTTCTCTCCTTTCCATGAAACGTGGAATCTTGAACGAAGGATGCAATGGTCTGATCTTACGGAAAACAATGGGACACCAGCAACATCGGTTAGCCAAAGTCTTCGATTTACGTGATATGGTCTGTTTCGTTATGGACTCCCACCTCCAACGTTGAGAATGGGCCTCTGCAATTGCGAGTTACCACAAATGGTCACGGTTATGGTGATAAGTTCCAATAGCTACTCACCTTGTCGGTTCCATTCTGTTCCAAATGTGACGTTCATCAGACGTTATTCTGGATCCAATCTTATCATCAAATTTTTCAAAAGTTCTCTTAAAGAATATGTGGAGTTCGGTGTGGAACTTCTCCAGGTCCAAATAGAACGCCTCGATTTCCTCTTCGTCATAGTTTGATGTCGGTGCATAGACAAGGAATACTGTCAAAGCCGGTGCTGATCCACATCTCTTCAGACGTGAACGTCCGATTCACGTTGCTGGTTGTTCGAACTCTCCGGTGTTACGAACGGCGTTAAGTGGACGGGTGTCTTCTCGTCTCGACCGGTCCGATGACGTCGTATCTTAGCCTTCTCGCCTATATGATCAAGTCTTCTATCGAGCGCCCACATGTAAGTGCGTATGCTGTAGGTACAAATCGCCACCTTTGTCCTTTGCGATCTAGCAGCCTAGAATGGCCCTGAGATTTTAGCAGCCTCTCTGTGCATATGCTATCCAATGCTGCCGCATCGGAAGCTCTTTTGGGGTCAGTGAAATGAAGCTCGTTTATTTTATTGTGTTTAGCTTTTTCATACCCACGTATAGCTTGCTGAGCTCTGAACGTAGGGCCTGAGAATGCTCACGGGTAGCTTTCCAGTCTCTTTCAGAGTAGACGGCGGAGTTTACTTGTTGTACACGATTTGTTACCAATTCTCAAATGCTTTTCAGCTACGTGGTTGCACGCTTTTAGCCGAATCGAGTCGTAAAGGCCCGAGATTAACCCTCTGTCCACCACCTTAGGACGCGTCACATTGCCTCGCGACTAACCGGCGTGAGGTCGCTCTACAAGGGTGATCCGTGGTTGTCTGGAAGTATAAAAAACTAACTTGATAAGTCACTAGAAATTATGCATTCAGTCACTCCTAGTGTTAGAAATGGAGTTGCGTGCATGGTGGATCCCTCAGAATTGATAAATGCGTGGAGCGCTATCATTTATCCTTTTGTGACTGCAAATATGCTAGAACGCATACGAACAAATGCGGCATATAATTTCTAGGTTATTTCGATAATAGCCACTCAAAGAATAAACTGTAGGCGTAAATTGTGTGTGAGGTCTGTAAGTTGCAAAAATGGCAAAATTTCAATTGTTGTAATTATATATGAACCGTGTTTGAGAAGGGTACATTGAAGAGATCGCGAGACCTGACGATCACTGTGGACAATTCGACCAGTAAACATTATCTAGCAGAAAGTAATATTTTCTAAGTAACTTCACTCTATATGTCTTCTGATGGACGCGAGTGCTCTATATTCACATTCTATTTTAACCATCAGGCACGCCTGTAGACACGGCCACTATAATCATCAGATACACCAACAGGCATGCTGTCAGGCGCGACTCATTGCTTAGCGTTTAGCCCTTGCGACCCACGCCGCTCGCTTGGATCCGGCCACGCCTCTTAGTGCGGCCATTTGCTTTCTGACGACATCTTGGAGCTGTCCGTTGCCCTCCCTCATATTCACAATCCCTTCGATCCACCTAGGCACAAACGATGTTGACTAAAATCTGTAGCTCTTGCATTTCTAGGACATAAGTGTTGTCATCGATTCTCATGTAATTACTATGTGTTGTTAACATAACAGTTTTGTTAAATACTTTCGTTGCTCACAGGTTCTCCACCCAGCAATTCTTCACCCTTGTTGCTAAAGCATCTCGCGATCTCTTTCCACATTCTTGCGCTGTGAGCACGTAAATCTTAACCCTGTTGTAATCACTATCAATATTTTTACACTATAAGTATTTGCTAGTTTCTCATATCCTCGTAAACCTGTTGCATAATGCTCTTCATTGTTGCTGAAACGGGCAGACCTTTATGTATCCGCATAAAAGAACACTGGCCTATTGTCTTGTTCTTAATACGTACATATATAAATATAAGGGCAGGTCTAGAGGAATCAGTAGCGATAGTTGAAATACCACTGGACGCTACGTCGCCAGTTAGTTCGTAACCGCCTGTATGACCATCTATGTGGAACATCGAATTGTGTAATTTTCTCTTACGGCAGGGACGGTGATTGCACGAGGTCAGGTACGATATACCTGATCTCTTGTAATACTTGTGGAGATGAATGCATTGGCGAAACGGGCAGACCTTTATGTCTCCATAAAAAAGAACACGTAGATGGCAAGCGAAAAGCAAGACGAGGTACGCCGCTAGGGACGCATAGGATACAAAAGCATAGAGGTGACGATTTTGATGTAAAAGCCGCCATCCTCGCATAATAGACTGAAACACCAACGCGCAAATTTCTAGAGGCTTTTTTGATTAATGCCAAGAATCCTACGATGAATAGCAAGGAGGAGTGCCCCGAGATCACACGCGACCTGGCCCCGTATGTTCGCATCACTTTCTGGTGCTGGGTGGTGCAGTCATCAACCATTTGCGACTATAATCAACTGTTCTAATCTTCCTCAATGAAGGTCACGAAAAAAGCGGTGATTGTTTCGAAAAGCTGTTGATCATGTAATGTCCATAGAGTTTTTCGTCTTTTTGAAAGTACTATT